TGAATAAGAATCACTTAAACATTTAAAAAACATAATGAAAATTGTGAGATTTTAAAATTCAATTTTCAGACATTTTAAGCAAATAAAATAATTATTTTAATTACAAAGATATAATTATAAATTATAACACACACACACATATGTGTGTGTATATATATATATATATATATATCTATATAAATAAAACAATAATCAAATTTGTTTAAGGCCGTATTTTTATTATTATCCCAATTATAATGACATGAAAATACAAAGGATATAAAGATTAAATTATTTCAAAACTTAGTTGGAAAAATTCATTAAAATAATTACATAATTGTGAAAGCTTCAATAGTAAATTCAGATAATAAGAAAAAGCTTTGCAATCGACTACCGTAAAACCGTTTGAAATTGAGTTAAATCCAAGAAACATGATTATCATTCAGAAATTGATAGATCTGATATTAAAGATTTACCATCTACTTTACTATTTACCACTGCAACAAGTCTCACACTCTTATTTACCTTGAAACGAAACCTTTTAACTCGTGTTTTTTCTCAACAAGTTGCAAATTCGTTCAAAAGCGGATTACTTTATTTCAATGTGAGTACCTCGATTATTTCCTTTTCTATTTCTCTCCGTTTACTATCGAAGACATCAATATCAAATAGCCAAAATTATTCTAATAAAAAGCTTAATAGAGGATATAATATTTATTTTTTCATACTTAAAAAAATAAAATCATATAATCAATTTTATTATTCATATTATTTCTAATATATTATTATTATTTCTCGCCTAAAATTTCTTTAATAATTATAATCATAATGATCGATATCTTCTATAGAATATCTTTGCATTATGTAAAGATGTTACAAATTGCATTGCTTTATCTAAGATATAGAACATATAAAATCAGTGTACTTTATTTATTATTTGTATGAGCTCATAAATAACGTATATTATTCATTGTTAATACTATAGATTTTATCTCAATTAATTCTATTAAGTATATTTATTATTAATAAATATTTTTCCATTGAAAAAAAAAGAAGAAGAGAATAATTCGATTTTATCATCAATAGATTATTATATATATAAATTATAATTTATGATGTCAATACATTTCAATTAACCTTTAATTTATTCTATAATAACATCCAAAATCAACAATAATAGTAAATTACGAGATAAAACTAAATAATAAAATTATAAAATAATAATTATAATAAAACAAGAGTAAGTTATATTGTAGGAAATTAAATAATTGAGTAAAAAGGACATTTATTTTAAAAGCCTAAAAGTAAATTTTGGTGGGATTAATGAAGCGACAAATGCATTGATCTGACTAACAATGACGCTAGTCTAGTCTTCTACAGAATTTATATTTTTTCATATAATTGATTAACCAATTACATTATAATGATCAATAATAATTGTAATTTCAATTTCTTTTCTTTCTTCACCATTCTTAAAGCAATTTGATTTTTTATTTATCAAAAATTACAATTCAATTTTCTCCAAAATTATGCAAAATAATTATTAATAATAATAACATTTTTATTACGTCAAATAATCATGTAATTATTCTAACAATAAGCATTTTTTTTATTGCTGAACATTAATTTAATAAAATGTAACTTTATTCCTTGTTTCGAAACGTATACGTAAAATTTATTTACTCGTTTAACAAATACTGCTCGCGCAGGCAAAACGACATTCATCTGTCAATTCAAACAGAGTAGTAGTAAAATTAATTAAATTTTAAAACCGCTCCAACATTAAATGTAAATTCTTTTATGGAAAAAAATATGGAGGATTTTTTAAAACGAATGTTTTTTTTTATTAATTTTATTGATTATTTTATTAAATTCATTTTGTTTTTCCCCCCATTAATTAAATATTATTTCATTCGATTCATTGTCATTTTAATTATGTGTAAGTAGCATAACAATACTATACATAATCTCGAAAATAGTGTTAACAATAAGAACAATAAGAACAACACTAATAATATCAATAATAATAACAATAATAATAACAATAATAATAATAATAATAATAATAATAATAATAATAATATCAATAATAATAATTAATAATATAATAATAATAATATCAATAATAATAATAATAATAATAATAATAATAATAATAATATCAATAATAATAATAATAATAATAATAATAATAATAATAATAATAATAATAATAATAATAATAATAATAATAATAATAATAATAATAAAAATAATATTAAAGAAAAGAAAATTTATAGTGAACAAACATTTATTATAATATTAATATTTTCATAGATTTTACAAAAACAAAAACAAGCGCTATCTTATGAATTTTCCACGTAGCCATTTTCATGTAAAATAAACAGATTTCAAAGGGTCATTTCATTATGTACTACTTCGTATCTCTAATTTATGAATAAAACTAACAAAGGCAGTAATAAAATGGTAAAATATTATTATTGGCACACAAATAATATTGATTATACAAGTATCGATATAAATTTATTACAAGATTTATGAATGAGAAATGAAAATAAAATTGCATTCCGTGGAAATACAACAATCAAAATGTATTAGAAATTAAAAGTATCGAGATATAAATATTTATGTGTGATTATCATAAAGTAGTCAATAGTATGTAATTTTTTCTTTTTTAACATCTCCATTCAAGTCAAATATTTAGCTTAACTTATAATTTACCCTGAAAAAATAATTAAATGTTAAAAAATGTTAAAAAAATAAAAAAAATAAAAAAAAATAAAAAAAAAAAGAATCCTATATTATTTAAGTAACTTTTGCACTCGATTTTCAAATATTGACAGTTGGTATTACAATTTTTCAGACAAACTTTTCTTGAAATTATTTAATGACGTTTCTGAATAAATTTCGTTAAGAAATTAAAATTTTTATAAAATTTCATTTTGCTTTCATTCAAAATACAGAATCGCTAAAAGATTAAGCAACAAAAAATAATTTAACAGTTTAAAAATAGTAGTTTAAATTGTTCGTTTGAAAATCTAATAAATTAGCTTTATTGACTATACCATTATTGGCAAGAATTTCGCTAAAATGATGCTAAATTTTTCTTAGTTGAAATACATAAATATTAATTAACGCATTTTCAATAATATAACGTAGCATTACCGAATCAGTACCGAAGTATTTTCATTTTGAATTTTAGTGCTATAAAATGTTATTTACAATATAAAAAAAAAAAAAAAAAAAAAAACACTAGCAGTTCATATTTCTATTGATTCATTTTCATTGCAAATAAAAAACTTTACTTTATAACAAAATTTTACAATTCCAATTTTATAATTTCACTTATAATTGTATGTATATATACATATGATTAATTTTATAAATAATCAAATATTATTTTTGAATTTCAGACGGCAGTCTGACAGAAACTTTAATTTAAACTCACTTCAATGAGATTGCAGATTTAAAATTTTGTCTGTATTCGGGATACAACATTTTTAAAATCTCATAAGTCACTTTAAAAAAAGGTTTCTTTTTAAATCTCAAAGTATAAAATTTTTATTCCCATATCTTTATAAATTATTTAAAGAATTTAATGTTTTTGTAATTTCAACGATGAAAATGTCTAAATTCTAACATACACAAATAACAAATTTTTTTCTTTTTTTTTTTATCTCATTTTATCTAGTATCCGCATTGATAAATGCAAGTAAAATGAAAAATATTTAATATCTTTATAAGCGGAGCTGTCGTAAGCGGATACAAAATATAGCGAAAAGAATTATATCTCAAATATGTAAAAGTAGTAAAAATATCGCGATTATTATTAAATAGTTGATTATGTTATTGCAATTTCTTACCCTAAAAATTCCTTAGAGAAAATATGCACGTAAAGTATTTTATATTTTGGTAAGTTTGAACATGCACGTTTTTTCTTGTAAAAAGCATAAGCAAGCGCATCAATCATATAAACCTGTAAAAATCGTAAAAATCATTTCAACGTATCAAAATACCAACTAATTCGTAAAATATGCTCAAGCTGTAATGTTGTAATAATAAGCTGTGCAACGATTTCAGCTGCCACAAACTCGAAATTCAAATTCCTACGCGCAATCCATACACGGACGGTCGCACGAGTGTGTCAAATTCATACGCCGACCCACATACTGAAAAGCCTTTCATCACTACATATATATATATATATATATATATATACGAACGCCGGTACTTGATTATGTAAAAATAGTATACTTTAATTGCTCAAATTTTTCAGATCCTAGTCGTTATAAATTAATATTTAAAAAAAGTTCACCTACAATTGACAATCTCTTTATCTAATGCGACAGATCTGTTGCCACTTGTTCCGTAAACAATATAGACCAGGGATAAATTAACGATCAACGATGTCTAAGGACGAACGAATTTACATCATTAAAAATATAGGATATAATTGTTTAAAAAGAGCTCCTAAATAGGTAAGCATATTTTGAGCAAAAATAACGTTAGTTTAACTCGTTATTGACTTTCCAAATATATTTGCTGTTATTTTTGTATTACTGGCGAACGGCCAGCCACTTCGCATTCATACGATTATTCGGATTAATAAAATAATATTATTCCACTAATAATTTGGACCGCGGTGACTTTAAGCGAAGTTGAATAACGTAGCGTAACAAGCTCCTCCTTGTCCAATTGTTTGACAAAATATATGCGAAATGCCATTCACAGCAATTCTGCCCTTTCATTTACAAAAATTTATTAACAAAAGTTTATTTCGTCATTGAATCGCGATTTCGCTGCTCTTACGTAAAGTTTGTCAAGTCGCAGTGGTAAATTTCATCGAGCGTCATCGGGCAAAATTGTCGCTCGTTTCACCTTGAAATTTCCATCGTTAGGCAACAGAGGTCCAATAGCCATACTTCCCTCTCGATTCGCTGGACAGCAGTCCAGGGTGGCAATTATCGCGTTACAGGGGATACGAGAGCCACGTTCAAACTACTTTTGCAGCCCAAAGCACGATGTCACCCGAGACGTGGAGAGGCTCGCGACCGAGAGCGTACGGGAATAGGAAGGAGCAGCCGTGGAGATCCATCTACGTCTGGGATTCGAGGATGCCGCCACTCTACGAGGTCATGCGCCCGGCGTTTCGCGTCTTGCGGGTCTTTGGCCTCGCGCCCTACGTTCTATCCAAGGACGGCAGCTCGGCCCGGATGCGTGTCTGTAACGTCTATTGCCTCCACTCCCTCGTCAGCGCGTGCGTCTACTTCGACTGCACCTACCGGTTGCTCAAGATTTATGAAAATATGCACTTGGAGCTCTCGACTGGTGCGTCCATCATCATCTACGAGGTATTGCAAAATATCCGGTTTCCTGCTTTCCCTCCTTAATGCATTATTATATGTTTGAGATTACTATATGTATAGGATTGCTACGAATCTACGTTTCTTTTTTTATTTCGGCCAACTGGTCGATGACGAAACTTAATCATTCCTAATGATTAATAGAAGTGTTAACGAACAAACAGGCTTAACATCATCCTAATAATTTTGTCTTTCCGATATATTTAAAGGAAGACTGAGGATTAGGCGTTTCATAAAAGCTCCGCGCATTTATTTATTAATCCGAATAGCAATAAAAAATAAATCTTTCGTCATGTAATTGTGTACTCTTGGCCCGTACATTAGTAACGATCGAGTCGTAAGTTGCGAGACAAGCCAATTTTCCACTTAAACAATGTAAATGTAACAATGCTTTTGTGTGTGTGTGTATATATATATATATATATATATATATATATGTGTGTGTGTGTGTGTGTGTGTGTGTGTGTGTGTGTGTGTGTGTGTGTATGAGACAAGACATGACGAATATTTCAGCCATTAAACTTAACTTCATTATTTCAACTGTGCGATTGTGGGTCAAGAGAAGGGCGCGACGACGGAAGCCAACGATTATGATAATGATGATGACGATGACGATGATGACGATGATGATAATGATTACGGGAGGAAATAAATTCTTTACGCCATTGTATATATTTTTTAATGTTATTGTATGTACGTAAGTTATTGGTTCGTACTACTAAATCAGTTGTTCGCGTTTTATCGATAAGCTTATTCTGATATATCGTTTCTCGTTTGATACATGAAACAATTCATTTTTATTTGAAAATACAGTCTGAGTTATTTAAATATTTAATAAAGGCAAACAAAAAAGAAAAAAGAAATTAATTGAAAATGCGCAAATATAAATTAATATCATTTTTAATTTAGTTAACATGTACATTTGGGTCAAATAACAATATATTGACATTATAATGTATGTATGGATATTTTTGCGATTATGGAAATATTTACATTAGATCATAAAATTGAAAAATAAATTTTTATTCAATTCATAGATTTGAAATAACATTTTTCTTGTAATGTTTCAACCAATGAAATGATACGATTAAATTAAATTTTCATGTCTAAGCTCAAGCTCACAACGTATTACATTGTATTATATGTAAAATTTCGTTTTCGCATAAAAATTTGATTTACATTCGTATGTCGACCGTACGTACTTTCTTGTTATTAGCTAAATTAAAAAAAAAAATTATTAAGAACATTGCTAAAGAGAATTTATACTTTATTTTAACGAAAATATTTTATTCAAGTAAAATCATTCATGTAAAATATTAAAATATTTTGAAAAAATTTCTAAAAGCATTGTTAAAAATTCCGTAATAATTAAGCGAAATCAATATAAAGTTTACGAATTGTTATTTCATATAAATGCACATTCTTTTATGCAATAAAAATATTTTATATTTTAATCGCTAAATATCGCTGTAAAATCGTTAAATATTTCTCGGCCAATATGCACATATTGGAAAATATTCTCACATTTTTTTAACTAACAAATACGTTTTGATTATTTTTACATCCTCGAATTTTAGTGTTTTTGGTTATTGCATCACGTAATTTAACTTTTTTTTTTTGTTTTTTTTTTTTTTTGTTAATTCTATTAAACTTTTATGGCTACCAATGGATCTCTTCAATTTCAAAAGTCCTTTTAGTAACTAAATTGATGTCTATTAATTTCGCTATGTGTACTCTTTTTCTTTTTTTAAATTATTGTAGATTGATTATCCGATATTGATAGATAATTAATTATTAGATGATTGAGTAATAATTGCATATGAATTAATTTAAGTATATCAAATAACAGCAATGTACATTAACTGCATGTTATCACACATATATATATATATATATATATATATGCTTCTGAAAATAGAAATAATCTCGCAACAAACTGTATAATTTAATCATCCGAGCATAAATAAGAAGCTGTAAAGGTTATAATAGTTTTTTGTCTTTTAATGAATTAATTTGACATTCATTTGAATTAAAAAATTTATCAATATACGCTTTTTAATCTTAATGTCGAATGTGAATTGTTTAGATTTTTTTGTTCTCTATCAATTCATGTTCATTCCAAATATTATGCTTTTGTCTACTATGCTTTTTCTAAATGGTAAATAGAATTGCATGTAGATGAGATACATTATTAATCTGTAATTATAAAATAAGGAATATATTATTTTTTTTTTTGCAAATACATTTAGGATTTTTAACGTTTAATATTGTCTTTCAACGTTACGTTAAGAAAACTTTATCCGAAGCGATTATTATCGCAAAGAACCGAAAAATTCCCTCGAATGCTTCATTAAAGAGAATATTATCAACCGTTATTCTAATGAAGTAATGAAGTAAATTCTAAAATCCTAATAAAAATAACATTCAGAATTTCTACATAATTGAAGAATAATTAAAAATTGTTATCTGTTTAGTAAATAGTAAATTGCTATTGTAAATACCAACGAGAAACGAGTCGCGCAAATTAATTAATTTACAAACTACAACCATAGGGACGCCCCCGCGAGATTCAGAATAGTCTCCACCTACGATCCACGTGTAATTCAATTAGTTGACAACAATCTCAGTGTGGATCCTAATCGTTGGCCATATTTTTTTCGTCTCCCACTAAACCTTCCCGATGAACTCCCATTAACTGCGTCATAAAAGATACGATTCAGTTGGTTTGCCATGCATGAATAAAGAAGCAAAAAAGAAAAAAAAAGAAAAAAAAAGTAGAAAAGTTTACTAACGATTCACTTATTCGACGTACAGATATTCCTGAACGTCTTCGTGGTAACGTCGGACCTGGTCCTCGACATCGCTCGTCGCGGTCGCATCGTCAACTTATGCAATCGACTCGCGAACTTTGACACGGCTCTCGGTATTATCTGGAAGCCGCCTCCTCGCATACTCAGGAAACGGCTTATCGGCTTCATCATCGCAAACATCTTGATCTGGTCGGTGATTGTCGACCTTAGTGCCCGCAGCTTCAAGGACACCTACCTTAACATGATCCGCCACACCATTATTTACCTCGCTACTGCCGTTGGCATCTTCAAGTTCTGCGGCGCGATATTACTCCTGGAGCAACGGTTTGGGCAGCTTAACAACCTCGCACTGCGAGATGGTCCTAACATCTTCGCCGAGGTGAAGTCGACGCAGGCAAAATCCAAGTCTAAATTCCCGCGATTCAATAAATTATTGTGAAAATTTAATCGACCTCTAAGAATTATGATTTAAACGGAGCTGCTTAAGTATTAATAAGATTTCAGTGAAATTCATAAACGAAGTTTTCCTATCCGACAATTCATAATTTCGTCCGACTCGAAATAAAGTGATTTTATTCTGGTGTGGTCGTGGTGGTGGAGGGGGGAGGGGGGGGGCAGTGATTGAGGGCTGAGCGTCCGAAAGCTGCGTATATATTGAATTGAAACAATAATTTTATTTATGTCCTCGTAAAGGATTTTCTTACATATGCTTTTATTTATTTCAATGGTAAAAAAAAAATAAAATTAAGAAACTTACACTTATCTTAACAATAAAGCTTAACGAAATCTATACATTTTTAAAAATATATATATATATTTCTTATGTATATATTATTTTTTATTTATATATAAATGTATATATTTTAACAAAATATTTTACAAAGTTTTTGCAAAGAAACTTTAATACAAGCATTTGATGCAATTTCAATAAATTTTTGTTTAATATACTATAGGTTTAAGCTCTTACGGACAGGGTGACTTTTTAAATAAATTCATGGTATTTCAATAGTCGGTATGATATTTATTATGCCACAATTCAAACATTATAATTTTATGTTAATTTATCACTGAACAATTATTAGTCAATAATGTTATGAATAATAAATCATATGGTTGAATAAAAGCTCTTATGCTATTGATAGTATCGTTGAATAGAATTTTCACAAAACTGTGTAATTTTTTAAACTAAAAGTAATGAATAAATCATACATTTTCAATATGGGATTGTCGTTGGTGTCAATTCTACCAATACTAATAGAGACTTTCAGTGATTCCCTCGGTAATTACTTAATAATGAACTAATGGACTTCACTAACATAACAATCTATCCAGGAGTGTATTATCAATAATAATGTACATTAAAAAACAATGCGTACAATTGAAAAAATTTGAAATGAAACAATGAAAAAATACAGTTATTCTAGTAAGAAATAAAAGATATTTAACGAAGTAAATAAATATTTTACTATTATTTATTAGTTTTACAGATACAAATAGTTATTATAGGGTAAAGAAAAAAATCTTTTCATATCTAACTCCTTGTAATAGTAAAAAATTAATATTTCTATTATTTTAGGTCAGAAAGTCATATTAAAAGTAATAGGACTATTAATTATTATTCCTTGAATTATAATTTTATAACATAAAAAAAAACATAAAAAATTTCAATATTTAAATATAATATAAAAAAGTTCAATATTTTCCTTTTTATTGTTAATCATATGCTAATATTATTAATTTAATTGTGATATTATTATTAACAAAAAAAAAAACAAAAAACAAAAAAAAAACAAAGAAGAAAAGAAAAAACTTTGAACAGTGTAAACTCATATTGCACAATAAATTTTTCTATTCCTGTTGATAGGTTAACAAATTAAATAACAAAAGGTATTTGATAATATGAAATTGAATTCCAGTAAAAGAATTATAGAAAACAAATGTCGTATATGTAGAATAATAAAATGCTTCAATTATGTTATTATCGATAAGATCTGATATGCACAACTACAGATATCAATTATCGGAAATTATTTTATTTTAATTATATAGAAGCGGTGATGACAATAATTCACTGTACGGTTTTTCCAACACAAAATCATACAACAAATACTTTGGATATAAAATTATTAAAATTAAATGGATGAAATTACTAATTTCAATATACAATTATGAATTGATAATCATGAATTGTTTGGAAATAAAACAAATTAATCAACACGAAAGGATAACATAACAAATATTAAAACAGTAATTGCAAAAATATTACAGCGAAACACCCTTTTTACATGGCTAGGCAACTTATTAATTTTATTATTATAAAACTTTACTACCTGATCTATACAATCGTAATGATAAACATAAAATTACGATAGAAATTTAATACACACAAGTTCCTTAAAAATGATATTAACTATTATTGACTTATTTATCAAGGTGCTTTTATGTTTTATCTATCATTATCCATTATTACATAGAATTATATTTTTAAAAACTCTTCTCAATAGATCAATATTTATCAATATTCTTAATTAATTAATATATTCAATAACAATCTATTGTCCATTAAAATCGTCAAAACAATGCGAATGAAAATGTCGTTATATTAATGCGATTCGATATAAAATGTTTGTTTAAATAGAATCGCAAGGGTACATTAAATAATTAAATCATTACTCAACCATTATTGAGATTAACAATAGATGCTTATTTTTCTAGAAAATAGAAATCTTGTACGGTCAATTAATGGACATTAGCGAGGAGCTAAATGACATGTACTCGTGGTCGCTATTTCTGTTTATCTTCGATCTCTTTAGTCACATCGTGACTAATACATATTTTATTTTGGTTTTCCTCAATTTCCGTTACGTTGATATACTGATTACCTTGGGGCTACTTATGTGGATAGTCATTTATCTCGTGCTACTTCTGATACTCCTTGTGACCTGTCATGCTGTCACGTTGAAGGTGAATCTCGTGTGAATCGTTGCCGTTCGGTATGCCTTTGACTGCATAGGGAAACGGCGCCGATCAATACAAAATATCCTTTTATTTTTCAGGCGAATCGTTTTCCTCAGATTTTAATGGATTGGCGCAGACGCAATAATCGCCAGAATAAATATTTGGTACATTAATTTTACTGACTTAAATAACTACCCTAGAATTTAATATAGATCTACTCGGCTTTTTTCTTTCTTTTTCTTTTTCTTTTTCTTTTTCTTTTTGTTTTGTTTTTGTTTTTTTGCAATTTCAACGGGTCGTTGTGTCTTTAGAATCACGGTAAAATTAGCGTGGTATAATTGAAATTTAATAATACGCAAAACATTAGCAATACATATAAACAGCAATATCTTATAAATCAATACTTATAAATATTTTTCCTTATATTGCAGAATACACGGACAACCTTGCATTATTTAAATCGTAAGCTAATGCTTACAGCCGGTGGATGTTTTCACGTACATTTACCTTTGATAACTGCGGTAAACAACATTTTTTAATATGATAATTATATAGAATATCTAATGAATATTAATTGATTGATCTTTTTTTTTTTTGTTTTTAGAGTTTGTCTCATATTTCGACATATATTGTCATACTTCTACAAATACCAAATAATCAAATATCTTAAATTGATGAAATGAGAAGATTTTCTTTATACACCTGTTATATACATCTATATAAATCATATTGTAGTAATAATTAAAATTTCGATAATAAATTAATTATCCATCGTTAATAAATATTATCAATTTTTTTTAAATACAATTTAACGAATTTACGCACATATAGTGTATAACGCAACGTATTCGTTATCGCTTAGTTCGTAAAATTAATTTGCGATTTGACTTCAAATAAATTGACACGTGAAGTCGTGAGTTGATGTATTTTCTTAATGATAAAAAAAAAAAATTACTACTTCTTATCTAGTAAATAAATTTCATCGCAACTGAAATTCAGGAATTTCGAAACTTATATGAGAGGCATCTACAATCATGATGATTTTTTAAAAATATTTTCAACATAAAAACCCAGACGCGCATGCTCCAAAGATTATTTGTTGAAATTCCGTGTGAAAGAACTACATGTCGTGAGGGTGGGGGTGGGGGGCATAAAAGACGTCGAGTGCTGCTGGTCAGTTTACCTTTGGGTTCAACGTAACGCAAGCACGTGCACGTCTTTTTTCCCTTAACTTTTTTTTATTTCTATCACATTTCGTTAGAATAATAGAATAGATCCAGCTCGGCATGCTCTGGCATAATCTTAAGCGCACGAGGCAATGACACGGACGACTGTGTTGTTGTTCTTTTATTAATGCAACTTTAATTCAAAATAATCGGACCGAGTAATGAGAAAATAAGATTTTTTTTTTAGAGCCAATGACTAGGATTAACCTGGAGGTCTATAGGTATCCTTGTCCGGATAAATTCAGCCTTTTTCCACCTTCGTGTAGATAAAATGACTTTTAAGATTTTTCCTCTTGCTTCTTAATTAATTTAAGTGACAAGTTTTTTCCTTTCTTTCCGTCTATCGTCACTCACTATTTCACTAATTAATTTCATTATTTGCTTAATTGATACTGATCTAAATGATTTTCCGTTACAAAAAAAAAAAAAAAAATCATAAAAACTATTATAAAAAAAATTTAGTTTCATTATATATCAATATTTAATACGTATATGAATAATATAATAATGGATAAATTAATTTGACATGAAACATATATTAATGCATGCTTGACTAATTACAACAGAATAATAAACAAAAATTATCAGTAAACTAATAGCATTTATATATTTCCATAAAATATAACAATTTTCATCTTAGTGAGACGTACTTTTTGCCATAAACATGATTTTCTTTTAATTTCCAGTAATACTTAAGTAATATTTAAGGCATCGTTAAAAAAAATAATACAAAAATCTAATATATCACTGGCACGAAATGACAACCTAAGCTCATATCATAAAATATTCTCATATACACTCTATATGATACACGAGTATGTTCAATAAAATTTTTTATACCAAAATTAACATATCACACACCAAGGCCTCGAAGATTGCTTCCAACTTAGATATTGAATTTACAGAAATAATTTTTTTTTATAAATTACGCTTTTCATTAAAATTTTTCACAAAAAATTTAATAATTTAAAACGCAAAATAACTTGAATCATCATTACTCGACATTAAAGTACATAATATTGTTTAACATTTTATTTCATACTCATGTATATAAATTTTTTCGTTTATAATTTGTTTGGCAATTAGTATAAAATTTTAGAATATATTAAATAAAATGTGGTTTATGTTTTATATGAGTATAAAACTTCTTATCGGCATTTACATTAAATAATTAATATTAAATTTAAAAGCAGTTAAAATTATAATTGGATATCTAATAAAATGACATTGTAAGTCGAAAACATTATTCTATCAATATATTTAAAAATGATATTTCTATATCTCATTAATAGTAGAGTTTTGGAATTTTCATCTAAAATATCAAAACGATATATGTACGAAAATACATAAACAAAATGAATTAACAGTATTTTGATATTTTTTCCTGCATAGAATATAATTCTTTCTCTTGTGATAAAAAATATTACTAAAAGCTGCTGTGCAAATATTGAAAATTAAGCAGCAACAAAATATATTCAATTATAGCTGCATTTTATTCTGATTTTATCTCATTCTTTCTCTTGTTATTTCAATTTTAATGAAACAATCATGAAAAAGTCAATATTATAATAATAAAAAATGTATATCATACAACAAGAATTTAATATTTACATGTCAAAAAATATATTACATATAAAGTTACGTAAAGAATTTTTCATGATAATAATAGTATGTGTAAATTTGGTTCAACTCTCTTATTGATTTCTAAATAAAAAACAAATTATTGTCGATTAAAATATCACGTGCATATACAATTCAATATGTTCAGAAATGTTAAATTTTAACAAAATAGCTTGTATTTTTCAATAATTATTACAAAATAAATAAGTCATTTATCGCATCTCAATTAACAATAATTAATAATTTATATATATATATATATATATATATATATATATATATTACATTCAATGGTATTCGTTAAAATGAATTAAAATTTTTTTAAATATCCAATACAAAATTTATAACTCAGCATAATAATGGGGGATAAATAATTTTATATTTTAACGTTACACTTATTTTGAGAAAATAATATACGAAAAATAACGTATCATTATTCACATTAATTTTCAAATAAATAATCAAACAAAATTAATTTAATATTTTGAATTATTTCTTATTGAACTGATACAATCGATATATATATTCATTGGTGAAATTACATATTATTTATAGTTTATCCATGATAAATTCAATAAAAAAAGTTATTTTCAAAATCTATGGTATATTCCTAAAATCACATATTTTCAATAAATCCTATGATTAAAAAATTAAATACTTTAAAAAGTTCGGAATGTACGCTTGATGAAGGAAATGTTTCATTGTTAGCTAGAAAACTATGGTGTAAAGTAATTAATAATTTTAACATGTGGTTTAAATAACCAATAAACATAATAATTCAATTGAAAAGTTATATATAATTTAAATTTACGTGTATACATGAGTTATTATCGTATTAAATTACAAATAATGAATAATTATATGCAAAAACTTTTCTTGCTCTTACAAGTCTTAATATCTTTTTTCTTTTTAATCATTATGATTAATCAATATCATACATTTAATATACTATTCAAATTTTATTGATTTTACATATAAAATTTAATTCATATAAATCTTGTATGAATAAATTTAATCGATATTATATAATTTAATGTATTGCTAAAATCATTGAAATTTTCAAGAGTTCATAATTTTTTTAATAATCGATAACATCTTATTCGATTCTTATAAAATATTAAATAAAATTCTTATATATGTGTGCGAAAGGATAATATTTTCAAGCTTTGCATAATTCCTTATATAGTTTTTTTTTTTTTTAATTCAGCACGTAGTTTTATAATATAAACGCATATGTCACTAAAACAATAAAATGCCTTGCAAGAAAATCATTTTCTAATATTTATTTTGTTAAAGAAAAATAAATAAAGAAATAGCCTTTTAAATACTTATTTTTAATAAAACATATGCAAATATTTAATGCCTCAAACAATAAACAAACGAATAAGTATACTATCGATCAACATTATAAGTATGTAAATATTACACTCGTATTTTATTCTTATACACATGTCATAATAAAATTTAATGGAAATAAAGCAAACATATATATGTATACAAATAATATTATTTCATTCTTAATTTAAATATTTATTAAAATAGCACCCTTTACTAATAACAGGTTCAACTTGTATGAAAATAAAAATTTGAAGTTCCTATAATAGTGGTTTGGTTAATAAACTACATAGACTATTATCCTTCGACAATAACGTTACATCAACTATTTGTCTTTTCTTTCAAATAATTTAAAAAGGACACACACACACGCGCGCGCGCACACACACACACACACACGATACACAACTTTATTCAATACTGCCAAATGCAAAACAAATATTCACAAATCATTTCACTGTCTGTCAATACGACTGATAAGGGAGAATATTATTGAGTAAATCAAAATACAATTAAAATAATTTTTATTTATATTAAAAATCTAACTTTACAATGTTTGAAAATTCAAATAATAAATTTTGTAAGCATTATTATAAAATAAATGAATATTGGTAAATTAAAAATTGCTCTTTACATTATAAATATCAAAGGACACAAGCACTACAATAATTATCGATTTAATTGTTCCTCCTTAATGTGCAAAGGATTGTGTATATAAATACGAACGACGCGTATGATAGTGCGCGCGCGCGTCAGCCTATTTCGATGGCTACGGTTTAGTACATCTGGATCAATAAGAAAAATTGTAAATTAATATATTGCAAAAAGGACGTTAGACGTTGGTTAGATAAGGGAGACGGTCGCAAACAGCCGAGTCAAAGCTCGTAAAGGCACCTGATAGGCTTGCCCTTGCAGTCCTCAATGACGCTAAGAGCCCTGTCGAGGATGTCCTTGTGTAGCTGTTCCTTGGGCCGGTCGGCATCAAAAGCGACCCAGGTCTCGGTTTCGGAGAGCTCGGAGAAATAGCGCGCGACCTTGCGCTGCATGTCAGCGCGCTCGAAACGTTCATCGCCCCACTGCTCGCGGCATTCACGTCGAGGTAGACGACGAGGTCCGGTGCGGGCAGACCTCGATCCGGGCCCTTGCACCACTCCAATTGCCTGCCAGTGGTCGCCGCACTGTAGGCCGCACCCGAAGCGGCGTATCTAAGCAGAATAATCCCACGAGTCATTTATCGTTATGGGTAATTCGAATTCTGCATTTTAGGTATTTGCTGAGCTTTAGGTATACGCTGGATCGGTGATTGCGCATTGGCCGTAACCGGAACTCGGCATATTCATCAAGTTACTCAACAACACGAAGGTTATTCTCGTTACAATACAAAGGCTTCCACGAGCGGGCGTTTCATGCGTTAGAAAATTGCGTTTTAAATTACGAATGTCCCGCCCCCATTAAAAATGCCTATGTACACTGCATCTGTTAAAATTGTTGGAGTGGAAAAAGTTAAAAAGAGCGCTTATAGAGCATTTTAATGTTAATGCTATGTAAATATTATTATTGTCGAATGGAGTAGCAGATAAGCAATTTTAGAATAAAAGTTGATGAATATATATCCCGCGCTCCGATTAATTACCTACTATTCTATTTTATACCATTACTTACAGCGTGCACGATAAAAAAAAAATAAATAAATAAATAAATAAAAATAATAATAGCTTTCCCTCTGTAAGAGAAGTATCTAAAATGTTTCTCGTTATACACATTATAATATTATATAAAATTAAAAAAATTATCTAATTATCTTAAGTGATAAGCAAATTAGATGTGCACTAGAAGAAATGTGTGCAATGTAATGCATTTCCAGTGCCATTATTTTAGCTTTTTTTCTTTTTCATTCTATTTAAGTTTCACAAACTTTAATTAAAACTTCATTATGCTTAGAAAAGTAAATAACTTTTTAATATTCTAGTCAATTACTATTCACTGATCAAATATTAGAATATTCGAGTTGTGTTATGAAGTATTTTATAATTATTAGGTATGCAGCAATGCGCACAAATAGTTTAGATAAATTCGTTGTACATTGCATTTGTGTACACGTCTCGTGCTCATTTCAAGACAATTAGAAAATTCTTAAAGTTGGAAAGGAAAATTCAAAGCTCAGTTGTATCGATATCTTTATCTATTTAATTAACGTACAAATTACAATAAATCCTTAAATTAATCAAGTCGAAATAAAAATTGTTATTAAGTTACCATGTTAAAAATATTGTGATTTACATGCATAAGTAAGCGTAATGGAGATATTTGTTGACAGTAGTAAATCTTTATATCCCCGATTGGAAAGTTCTCTATCTCATCTCAATAAGTATTGATTGAGATAAAAATGCTGTTATAGAGATCGATTGAATTATATGGCGATTGATGGTTGTTGTTTTGTCTATCTCGTTAAAAAAAAAAAAAAAAAAAAAAAAAAAAAAAAAAAAAAAAAAAAAGGATTGTCGATATGCTATCATCAGTGGAGTAAACGTAATCGATAAAATACTTATACACATAGAAAATAATTAATAAAATTTTTCCAGTCACTTTTAGCCACTCGACTGACATATTTTCTTAAATGTTTTTACAACAGTACATTATGTCATTATAGAGATTGGAAGATATTTTAATTTTGCACATGTCAAAATATGTTTTTAATTAAAAAAAATCGATTGATGAATGGTTGGTCCAGCATCTCACGTGATAGATGCCCCTAGGCGTTGCACATCCCCTACGGGCCTCAAGTATGCCCGGGAATTAGAAGAAGTATCTTATACGTATAATTGAATAAGAGAGAGGAAAAAAAGTTGGTCGCCTAATGCACTCGAAGAATTATTGCACGTGCGGAAGAATGGGTAAAATGAGTTTCGCCCAGAGCTAAGAGGAAAAGCGAGGAAAATGATGCCGAAAAATTATTGAGATTCAGAATGTATAATAATCAAGAAAGTTGTTAGAAAGAATGTATTTATATGATTTTATTATTTTATTATATATGTTCATTATATCCACAAATTGATAATATACGTGACAAAATTTAAATACAAGAATTTGAAACCTTAAAGCATTTTTCTATGTATATTTGTACGTGCGAGAGTTTTTCTTTAAGTGTTATGATATATAAGCTGTTATGCTTGAAAAAGCCGCTGATAATATTTACGAAATTCCTTACATTAATTAATATATATAATTATATAACGAGGATAAATATTGCAGGAACTACAATAAATACACTACTTACAACAACAATAATCACTAAAATTCATAAGATAGTAATATGTTGAAAGTGGCTTAATTACCTTTCTTTTTTATAACATTTATACCAAAAGGTAAAAATGACATCGCATCCCTTTAATCAATGTTATAATTGGGATTTAAAAAAAAAAAAAAAAAAATAATAATAATAATAATAATAATAAAGAAAAAAATCACTAAGGCTAATCAAGTGAGAATGTTGCACTAATGATCGTAATTAAAAATTCATTGCTATAAAAAGCTTAGAAAGTTTATCAAACAAAATTATCCAAGTAATATTTTACATAATTTATCGTCTGAATTGGATATTCTATGCATTGGAAGCATTATTGTTATTTTATAAATTCCTTAGAACTACACATTAGATTATTTCCATAGCGTACAAAATCTTAAACCCCATGGGAAACTTGATAACTTTCACTATTGCTTAGAATATAAAAAAACACGAGTTTTCAAGAAAAATTGACCTTTCACCCATGGGAATGGTTCAAGAAAACTGAGTTCAATTTTTCAAAGTACAATAATACGACGACAGTACATTTTTGTATTTTATGTGAAATCCAGAAACGTATTATTTTGTTATGCTATACGAACTGTTAAGTTATTTAAGAAATAAACTTGTATAATAAAAAGTGATTTGAAATGGACTGTAAAAGGAATAATTGTTTTTATATTTTATGTACGCTGGAATATATTCTTTTAATATACAAATTTATTGTTTCCCCGTGAGATATTTTATTATTTTCATTGTTGTTGTTGTTGTTGTTGTTGTTGTTATTATTATGGAAAAGGATGTTAATTTTGTTTACGTGTAAATGAGTAGAATATTGTTTACAGTTAGCAAAATAAGATTTTTTTTTTTTTTATTCATCCTATTCACGTAACGCTTATGCGCAAAAACATACTATTACTTATCTAGTTATTAATTCGTTCATTTTATGTATTTAATTCTCTGTCACTGGAAAATATTATTCTAAACTTATTACGAAATACTGCATTTTAGAATTCATTCAAGTACTTATGAATTTTTTATGAGAATACATATTAGAATGTAAATATGAATTGTAAATCATTCGATAAAGTTATATGTTTTATTATATTATTAATGTAAATTTTTTTTTTGGCATTTATTATAATTGGAAAAAATTAAGAATTTTTTACTTACCTATCGACAATAAGAGTTGTGCCCTGTTCGAGTATTTGGTAAATATTGTCTTTGCATTCCCATCGATTTGCCGAAAATAGCAAATGTACTGCCTCGGGTGCAAGTTCAGTTTTCTTTGTTAGATAGTCATTAATTATTCCACCGATTGTAGTATCTCTGTCTAAAAAAAAAATTAGAGTTATGTGAATTACTTGACAATCTAATGTGACGTTGCGCAGGTGCATTATAATAGCTAAGTGTCATCTATCATGAATCTAGTAAACTAAAAATAGCTTTCTTTTCTTCAAATAATTGACCGATGATTACTCGTGAGAAATAAAACGCAGAAAAGATTTATATAGTTTAGAGAATAAATAGGGTTCGTATTATCAAATAACGTTTTATTATTTACATGTAAATGTTTATGAATATGGCCGTAATAAATCTGCATATGCATATTCAGCAATGAATAGACGAATTTCGGTTTTTCAAAACAGATCAACCCATAAACTTGTACTATTTATGCTGTATAAGATTAAAACTTTAAAAACGATTGCAAATAACGCATAAGGATAAATATATTTTATGTCATTTTCACGAACAGATTATTTTGAGTAATACGATTGCCTTTTGAAACAATTTAAATTTTGTGATAAAATATTTTTAAAAAGCGTTGGCGGGGGGAGATAAAAATTTTTCTATATTAATGACAATTATATATTAGTATATATAACCATTATAAAATTACATTTACTTTTATAATAAAAAATTTAATGAAATTAAATATCATTTATGGGAAAAAATATTTCAATTATTCATGTAATCAGCGAATGTAAATAATTATTAAATAAACACTCTTAAACTCAAACGTAACAAATTATATTTCTATAATTGTTATTATCACACTTTATTTATAGGGTAATAAAGAGTTACGAAGTGTGGTTAGGTTATGTCTACGAAAGTTATATCATAAATGTTTAGGCCACTATAATTTTGGAAGAATTTTGTCGAAATTTTAATGAATTTAAAAAAAAATAATTTTAACATTCGTTAAAACATAAAACAAAAAACAATGTAACGTCAAAAATCGTTTCTTTCAGCTGTAAGTGCATTTAAGTTTTCATTCTAAATTCTAAACTTACGTAAAGTGATTAATGTCCTTGTTCAAAACATCAATTAACCGACAATTATAATAAATTACCTTACCAGGAAAAATGCGCTGCTCGACAGATATAGAATGATCTTTCAGTGCTTCGATAAGCAATGACACCTGCGTCGATTTTCCCGCTCGATCCAATCCTTCCAGAACCAGAAAAGCACCTCGCATCCTGATTTTAAATCACCTCACAAGTACTCTACGTATAAAATTCCCCTTAATTTATTCGTACAAACAAATTTATAGGAAATAATATCCTACGTACTCAAAAATTTCCTTATAAAATATTATTAACTATTATACGCTCACACCGGATACGGCGTCAATAATAAAATACCTATAATCGTCCGCACGTGCTCATGTTATTATGAATATATTTACGAAGAAGTAAGATAAGTTCCATTACTTTAAATGTTTTGGTGCTGCGTATTTCATAATGGCCTTAAGGCTTAGTCGCTCGTAAGCAAATTTAATGACGGCAAATCGCTTTAACGAACCGACTCGAAGCATTCGTTTTTACGATAATAACACCGTAACTCAATTAATTAAATAAATAAAATTCTAATGCAAATCGCGATAAATTGGGCTCGATGGTGACCTCTTGTGATGAAATCATTAAGCTTTGCAAGACATTTCGTCAAAAAGGTAGAAATTAGATATTTTAACGAAATAAAAAGAATTTGAGTCTAAAGCTTCCAATAGATGGCGCTGTCTCCAATCTAATGATATTCATATATATATATATATATATATATATATATATATATATATATATATATATATATATATACACATGCATGCGAAGTAAGAATATTTATGTGTGAGAGTTTGTTAGCTCTGGCTTAGCTCCATCAATAAAGACACATCAGATATAATTATTATTCTTAACGACTACAGCATCCCATGCTATTTAACATGTGTCGTCATTTATATTTTTAATAATAAAATATCCTGACACATTAAAAGTTTTCCCAATTCGATTCAATATACTCAATAGGTAAACATAATATATAATGAAATAACATATAATAGTCTCTGGATACGTAAACAATGCAAATTTTGTGTACTATTATTATACTAATACATCAAGTTTAATATCACGAGCTTTAGGGTTTAAATATTAAGGGCCTCTACTCACTTATCAAGATTTCTTCAATTCATTGCTAATGCGAGTGATAATTGAAATTATAACAATATATATATTGTAAGCACACTCTTTACATTTTTATTCTATCTTTACGAACAAGAATTTTAACGATGTTAAATTTTAAATCGACATAATGAAAGTTTACTTAAATATTCAAAACATTTAAAATAAATAAATGCCAATTGATATGGGAATGTCTTATGTGAAATAATCAGAATTGGAAGCTTATACAAAACGTGAAAGCTTACGGTTTCTTTAACTCTTATTCAATTCTGTGAAATAACATAAGGATAAAATGAAATTAATTGGAAAATGTGAAATCAAATGATATACTCCGTAAAAGGGAAATAATGTATTTCTTTTTAAAAAATATCAATATGATTTTTTGCCCCTGCACAATGCGAAAACCGTCCTTTGTGTCCCCACTACTTCCTATCTCAACGTTCGATAATTGTTTATAAATATAACTGCCATTTATTTTTTCAAATAAAATTGCGCGCATGCGTATGTAAATATTTAAAAGTTCGATACCAATGTTAAAAAAGTTAATTTGCGAATTTTATCTGATAATTTTTGTATTTTTCAAATCGCTTTTTTAAGCGATATTTATATAGGATAATTTATATCCGCATGCCATTATAATTGCTTTTTGAAATTTTCATCTGCTTTAAAATGAAGATTACCACAAGTTACCTATTTAAATTATATTAATAAAGTACGATCAATATTCGTTAATCCTTTGGCAATAAAAATTGAATGAAATATGATATGTGCTACTTTCATTATTTATAATAAAAACATTTCGAGCCCTGACATATGTACATGTGGCTGGCTGTGGACACAAAGTTATCAAGTTCGAATGAAAAACTCGATGCATTAGAGGGAAATAAGAAGAAAAGGCTAACAGCTACGAGTGCGTGCTTCGATGCTTAATCATCTTTGTTGCATGCGATCGACGCTGAGAAAAGTTGTTGCCACTAGTTTTACCGATAGTTTTTGCAAATTTGCCGACAAGTATAAGTTTTCGCGAGTTTGCGCTACAGCCGGTAGCACCCTAACCTCCGCATTTTCACCTTTGTTTTACTCTTCGCAAAGTGTACATTGTTATTCTTGCATAAGAGTTTCCCGCGTTCATACGACATCAAGCCGTTTCACTTCCCATTGTCCAAAAATCATGAGCCCAACAACGAGCACAAAATTCAATTATCCAAAAGCTCGTCGTGACGAGACTGCTGTTGACATTTATCATGGCATGAAGGTGAGAATTATAATTGGCCATAAAATTTTAAAATCAAATACTACCTTCTTTAGTTAATACTTTTCTGCATTTCAGACCTTTATTATTTAATGTTATTTTTAGATAAACGATCCGTACAAATGGCTCGAAGATCCAGATTCCGAAGAGACAAAAGCGTATGTCGACGCTCAAAATGCTATTACTTTTCCATTTATAAATGCATGCCCCAAGCGTCAAGCTATCCATGACCGATTAAAACAGCTTTGGGATTATCCTAAGTATTTATGTCCTATAAAGAAAGGGGATAAATACTATTTTTACATGAATACCGGATTACAAAATCAAAGGTATGATGTTAATATTCATAATAACATATCGTCTTTCTTTCAATTTTATATCTTAGTGCTTTCATATCAGTTTTAATAACGATTAAGCGTTGCGATCAATTTATTTTTCTCTAGTGTATATTATGTACAAGATTCGTTAAATGGCGAGCCAAGAGTCTTTCTCGACCCTAATACATTTTCTACAGATGGAACCGTTGCTATTGCAAATGAAGAATTTAGCGAAGACGGGAGTATATATGCTTATGCCTTATCCGCTAGTGGATCTGATTGGAATACTATTCACTTTATTAATACAAAAACTGGTACGATTTGTCCTATGCCATTTTATTAACATTTATTATTAATATAAAAGTATTTCTTCATGCTGTATATATTGTATATTTAAATTTTTATGCGCAGGTGAAAAATACCCTGAAGTTCTGGATAAAGTAAAATACTCGTCGATAACTTGGTCGCATGACAATGTTGGTATTTTTTATGCTTGTTATCCCGAGCAACGTGAAAAAGCAGATGGCTCCGAGACCTTTATTAACCGAAATCAAAAACTGTGTTACCATAAAGTTGGCAGGCCTCAGTCGGAAGATGTAGTAGTAGTTGATTTTCCCGATCATCCTTTATGGAGAATGTGAGTTTATAAATGTGTTAGTTTGTAAGTATCAAAAGTAGTTACCCGTTGTTATTTTTAGAGATGCGCATGTCACAGATTGTGGACGATGGCTTATTGTTTTGCCACAACAGGAGTGCCGTGACAATCTAGTCTTCTTTGCCGAACTTGATAAAGAAAATGACATTAAAGGAAAACTGGAATTAACAAAAGTAGTTGGAACTTTAGAATCTGACTATGATTATGTAGCTAATTTTGGCTCAAAGGCTATTTTCAGGACGAATAAAAATGCTCCTAATTTCAAATTAATAGCTACTGATTTGGAAAATTTCAAAGAAAATAATTGGACCGAATTAATAGCAGAACATCCGAATAATGTCTTAGATTGGGCATCGGCAGTTGACGGAGACAAACTTGTTGTTTGTTATATCGAAGATGTTAAGGTACTGTAAATTTAATATGCGCTCGTTGAGTCGCGAGCGAAATTAAATATGAAGTGTATTTTATAAATAATTAATCCCTTTATATTTATAGAGCATTTTAGGAGTTTACAGTTTAGAAACTGGAAAGTTACTTAGACAGTTACCGTTAGACGTAGGAACCATAATTGGTTTTTCTGGAGATAAAAAGTACTCTGAAATATTTTACCAATTCACATCTTTTCTAACTCCTGGAATAATTTATAGATTAGATCTTAAGAATAATGAAGAATCTCCAAAGGTAATGAATGAAATAATGTAAATAACAAAAATCCTCTTAAATATAACAATGCTTTTATGTATTATATTTCTTATGTATTTAATAATTTTATTAAATACAGGTGTTTCGTGAAACTAAAGTTAATGACTTTGATGCAAGTTTGTACAAAACTACTCAAATATTCTATTCTAGTAAAGATGGAACAAAAATACCAATGTTTATTGTACACAAAAAAGTTTGTTTATCCAACAATTTATCTTCTTACATCTATTTTTATAATTCCTTAATGATATTATTATAATCACATTTATTATTAGGACACGGTGTTAGACGGTTCATCTCCTGCTTTCCTATACGGATATGGAGGATTTAATGTCAGCATTCAACCAACGTTTAGCGTCACACGACTAGTCTTTTTACAGCACCTCAATGGTGTTTTAGCTATTCCAAATATTCGTGGTGGAGGGTAAATATTATTGAATAAAAAAAATAATAATAATAATATCAATCCTACGAAAACCGATTAACGATTTTTTTCTTAGAGAGTACGGTGAGAAGTGGCACAATGGTGGACGTTTTTTCAACAAACAAAATGTGTTCGATGATTTTCAATATGCTGCTGAATATTTGATTGAAAACCACTATACATCGCCGGAAAAATTAATAATTCAAGGTGCCAGTAATGGAGGCCTTTTAGTGGGCGCTTGTATCAATCAAAGGCCCGATCTCTTTGGTGCTGCTATCGCTCAAGTTGGGTAGGTATCGTTCATGCCTGTTATAAGAAATTGAAACTCAAATAAAACAAATCTCTCTCTCTCTCTCTCTCTCTCTCTCTCTCTTTCTCTCTCTCTCTCTTTCTCTCTCTCTCACTCACTCACTCACTCACTCACTCACTCATTTCATTGACAAATAATATTATAAAGAAACGTATTTATTACAAAGAAATGATTTTATAACTAAATTTTGAATTAATTTTAATTGATCATTAATCTTACGAAACAGCGTTATGGATATGCTGAAATTCCATAAGTTTACCGTTGGATATGCTTGGACGTCCGATTACGGTAGCTCGAATGACCCTGAGCACTTCAAGAATCTTTTGAAATATTCACCCTTGCACAATGTAAAACCGCCTGCAAATGGGAGACAATATCCTGCGACGTTACTTTTAACCGCAGATCACGACGATCGCGTTGTGCCATTGCATAGTTTGAAATTAATAGCAACACTTCAGCACGAGATTGGAAGCTTGCCGCAACAAACGAGTCCACTGCTTATTAGAATCGATGTCAAAGCCGGACACGGCAGAGGAAAACCAACATCAAAAGTGGTAAGGAATCGAGACCTTTTTTAAATCATTGTTATATTATTATTTATTATTATTTATTATTATTTATTATTATTTATTATTTATTTATTTATTATTATTATTATTATTATTATTATTATTATAATTATTATAGCTTCGGCAAAATATTGTAGCAGCTCAAAATATTTCATTTAACGTTAATTGAGATCTATTAAACGAGTAATAAATAGTAATACAAATTAAATATATATATTTAATTTTTTTTTTAAACGTTGAATTGCTACGTTATTTTAATACCGATATGATATGAAAATATTAATTAAATAAATTATTAATTGATTTGTTTTCATTTCTTTCCAATTTCCTTCAATCCTCCCTTCCTCCCTCCCTCTCCCCCCCTTTCTTTCTTTCTTTCTTTCTTTCTTTCTTTCTTTCTTTCATTCTAACATTCTTTCATCCTTTCATTCTTAATTCCTTCGTACATTATTTTTTGCCCCCATCTCCCTTCCATTTACCCTTCCTTCTTTCCATCCCAATATTTCCACCCAAATTCTTATTTCCTTTAATTTCTGTTTTTATAGATCGAAGAGAGTACCGATATCTTATCTTTCGTGGTACAAACAGTAAATCTTGAATTTAAATAAATATAACTATAAATTTATTATGAGACTTTGGTCTGGCATTTATATTGATTAATTTTATAAAGATTAAAGGTAATTTTTAACTTTATGCAATTATAATTTTAATTTTTACTTATTCTAAAAGAAAAAATAAATAAAAAAATAAAGGAAAAATAAACTTTTGCAATTCATTTAATGGCCTTTTATTTGTACTAATGCCAATTTATAATCCTTAAGAAATTAATGCAGTGTAAGATTGAAAAACTAATGGAGAAAATCGTTCGTTCAAGTTCAAGCATTGTAATTCAAGCGATTGACAATGAAATAATCTCATTTTTAAACTGAATAACGTAATTGTTGATTGTTGATTGTTATTTTTTTTTCTAATATTATTGAAAAATGCGATTTTTGAGAGAGTGAGTTGAAATTGACAAATCCGAGATATTATTGTTTTGTATACCAAGTTGCCAACTATCCTAACTAATTAATTAATTTGAATTTGGAGTAATTATTTATAATCAGACTTTGTATTTAGCCGAGCTTGGTGTTTATATATTTTATTTATCGATCGGTTCAATCACTCAATCATATTCCTTACTGAACGATGCTTCTATACTTTGCGAATTATCGCTGACAGCAGAATAGAATGGCTTTGGAGTATCGTATTAAGAAAAAAGTGTTGGACATTCCATTGAAAGGACGATATATTTGCCATTTGAATGTAATGTTGCGCGACGTTGATAGTAGCGGCAGCTTTTCAACCCAAACTCAATATTATTGAAAAAAGAAAGAAAGAAAGAAAGAAAGAAAGAAAGAAAGAAGGAAGGAAGGAAAAAACAGTGCCTTTGAATTAAAGTCGATCGGCTGCACAGAGCTTTCGAATAATCGCGGGACTATCATCCGGCAACTTTCCCCTCAACATTTATATACAAAATCGCTCGCTCACGATAATCCGACTCCTCCCTCATTAACTCCCGAGCCAAACCACCCAAAGGCGAGGAAGCCGAGCAGGCCAAGGAGGATTAAAAACGCCGATGATGCGTGTCGAACGCGCATCACCTTCAAGAGACACTCAACATCAGCTCTACGGAGAGTTAAAGCGTAGGAAGCCGACCGAGGAAAAGGACCTTCAATCGTGTTTGACAACACGCGCAAGTTCGCGCGGATCCGCGCGATTCGTACACAAGCCGCGCGAGGGGCAGCCGACCTCGCTCATTGCACCCGAGGCTCTCGGATCTCGCACCTGGGGCCAATGACCAGCGGCCGTCCCCACCTCCAGCTTCCGCTCGGTCGAGCCCGTCGGCCAGGAGCACACGTGCCCCGGGCCTCTGTAGCGCGCTTGGGATACGCGCGAACGAAGGTCGACCCAAGGGCCACTGTTAACTTGCGCGGGGTACGGCGGTGGCAGACTCGCCGCCGATTGGCCGCAGCTCCGGCCCGGCTACCGCGAAAAGCGCTTCATCTTCGGGGAAACGCAGCGTCGGGGTGTCAGGCCAGCCGTCACTTCTCATCCCGACGGTGAGAGACGCGCACCGCCGGAGATCGAGAAAGAGAGGAAGAGATAGAGAGAGAGAGAGAGAGAGAGAGAGAGAGAGAGACAGACAGACAGACAGACAGACAGACAGACAGAGATATAAACTAGAGAAAGAGAGAGAAAGAGAACGAGAGAGAGAGAGTGCGCGCGCGCGCGCGTGTGTGTGTGTGTGTGTGTGTGACAGAGAGAGAGAGTGTGCGCGCGTGTGTGCTTGGGTACGTGAGAGCGACAGAGAGAGAGAGAGAGAGAGAGGGGGAGAGACAGACAGAGAGAGAGAGAGAGAGAGGAGGAAACGTGAACACCGACGAATCTTCAACGAGCTGATCGGCCAAGGTACTTCTATTGTTTAATTTCTTAGCTTATTAGTTTTTTTTTTTGTTTTTCTTCCCCCCCCCCTCATTTTTTCTTCTTCTTCGTCTTGCTCTTAATCGGTATTTTCAAAGCCCACCTGGTTTGCGCATTTATCCCATATGAAGCGCGCGCGTGTGTGCCACTGGTGTTGTTCGCGTAACAGCCCAAGCTTCGAAACGTACTTTTGTCAATATTTTTGTTATTTCGTGGCTAAGGGAGCTGCTTAAGCTTCCAGTTAATGAGTCGAGCACCTGTGCTCCCATTTAAGGACTGTAAAATGCTCGAGACACCGTACGCCCTCGACATCCATTACAAAATTACAATAATTAATAATAGGGCCGGGGCTAATAAATAGGCTTGCAATTCCTCCGAAAGGCCGTAAGTCCATTCGGAAATGTTTGCCGAGCGGCGAGCTATAATTACGACTGCTCGTTAGCCAACCGCGGGCGTGCGTTTAAAAATCAAAATCTAATTGATCGAAACGGTCGATTGCCGATTGGTAGTCCCAATAACGATCGGATCGGATGCTATGCGCGGTACGGTACAAGCGCGTGTCCACTGAAATAAAGCGATCGTTTTTCCGGCAGGCAGGCAGGCGACGACGAGCCCGGGGGGAGATTAACGACGCCAGTGTGTGAACAAGAATACGGAACAAAATGCGTCCCAACGACCTGATTCAGCAAGAGCGGCGTATCACGGAGACGATGTCCGAGACGTCCGAGGGGACGACGACGACGACGAGTGTCTCCGGCAAGTCGAGCATCGATAACGTCGAGGAGCTGCGCGGCCTCGCGGCCGTCCTCGGCATCGTCAACCCCGATGACCTGCAGCAGGAAAGATTTCGCGTCGATCGCAGAAAACTGGAGCAGATGCTGCTCGGTGAGGCTTTTTATATACGTACGAATAAGGCGGCGTTACTTATTTCGCGAGCACATTTTGCAACTTGCCAATGTTTGCCCAATTCTTCCGAACGATTTTCATGCTACTAATAAGCTCCTACGATGCATTGTTCTCGTGCTAAATGCTTACGCATATATATATATATATATATATATATATATATATATAATGATAATATTATTTTATATTTAATGCACAATGATCATTACATAGAGCTTCGCAAACTATATGCCTCATCTTATGAAATATTTCTCATTTGCTTGTATAATCATACAAAATCTTATAATTATTATTATTTTTTATTTTTATTTATTTATTTATTTATGTATTTATTTATTTATTCTTCGGCTTCATTTATCTTTTATCCCTTCTATATTATATATCAAATTTCAACTCGTTTAATCATTGTATCACATACACTTATTGGTTGTTACATTAGGCTCGTGGATATTTCAATTGCTTAGTCAACAATTTAATCTTTGACAATTTTGCAAGGCAATCAGTGTACAATTATTTCTAATTCTTACGCGAAATATGACGAAATGTGCAAGCTCGAATTGTACTTGTCCGTGAGAAGTGAGCGAGTGTGTAAGTGGAGTAAAATAGGCGGAGAGCAGCATGAGTGGTAACTCGTTTCGCAGATGCGCACCTGCTGTCCTTTTGTTTGTAAATAAGATTATTACCGTTAAAGCCTAAATTTTACCAACTTCTTACCTAAACTGTTGACCAAACGTCGTTGATCCAAGTTTTCCAAATTCGGGATTGAATCTTTTTTCCATAAGCTCGGTCGGTTACGTGTAATTTTGAAATGAATTTTTTTTTTCTTCATTCTTCGTTAACTTGTTTCGGCACTCTAAGCTTCAAATTTATTAAACGATTAAACAAAAGCGAATATGTAAAATGAAAAGAAAAATGTGAAAACTAATAAATAATTAAATATTTAAATAATCGATTAGTAGTAATTACGATGCAAAGATAGATAAACTGATTTTTGTCTGTTAAATATTGATATCTTGTAATGATAATAATATTATTTATTATTTATTATTATTATTATTCTTGTTGTTGTTGTTGTTGTTGTTGTTGTTGCTGCTGTCGGTGGTGGTGGTGGTGGTGGTGGTGGTGGTGGTGGTGGTGGTGGTGGTGGTGGTGGTGGTGGTGGTGGTGGTGGTGGTGGTGGTGGTGGTGGTGGTGGTGGTGGTGGTGGTGGTGGTGGTGGTGGTGGTGGTGGTGGTGGTGGTGGTGGTGGTGGTGGTGGTGGTGGTGGTGGTGGTGGTGGTGGTGGTGGTGGTGGTGGTGGTGGTGGTGGTGGTGGTGGTGGTGGTGGTGGTGGTGGTGGTGGTGGTGGTGGTGGTGGTGGTGGTGGTGGTGGTGGTGGTGGTGGTGGTGGTGGTGGTGGTGGTGGTGGTGGTGGTGGTGGTGGTGGTGGTGGTGGTGGTGGTGGTGGTGGTGGTGGTGGTGGTGGTGGTGGTGGTGGTGGTGGTGGTGGTGGTGGTGGTGGTGGTGGTGGTGGTGGTGGTGGTGGTGGTGGTGGTGGTGGTGGTGGTGGTGGTGGTGGTGGTGGTGGTGGTGGTGGTGGTGGTGGTGGTGGTGGTGGTGGTGGTGGTGGTGGTGGTGGTGGTGGTGGTGGTGGTGGTGGTGGTGATGGTGGTGATAGTATCGTTATTATTGTTGTCGTTATTATTCTATAAGCTATCGATAATTTTAAAAACTTCGATACTTATCTAATAGATTAATGTTATTGACGATTAAGTAAATTATTTAATTAAGAAAAAAATAATGCTATTCGCGGAAAGAAATGCAAAATATTATTTATCGAAATTTCTACTTACCTAAACAAATAATTAAAGTAGATTGAACTTTTGAAAGTGTATTTCAGAGTTCAAACTTCTGATGTTTTGATATAGAGTCAATGACCACGGAATGTGCAAATTTTTTCTTTAATATCATCTAGTTGTAATATTTTGTTTGTATTTAATTTAGCAAGTCGCAATTACATTCGAAGCACCGACATTAAATATTGCGAAAATATATAAATAATTGTTATATTCTAGTGATAATTGAATTAATATTGAAAGAAAATACAATGGATTAGAATAAAAGTACTTGAAAAGCCCAATCTTTCGTGAAACTCTTAATCAGTAATGGCCTCTAGAAACATGACAATCGATAAATTTTTCAAATGCAAGTGAACAGTTTGCACCATATCCAAGGTCATGCAAGATTGCGAAACGAAATAAGTAGAGGCTGGTGGTAGGTAGTAATGTATTTTTGCCTTTTGAATGCAAAGCTATTTGAAAATCTCTAAACTCGTCGTCTCTTCCTTTCTCTGTCTCATGAAAACGTATTACAGGTGACAGCAGCAGTGAGAGCGCCGACATGTTTTTTCACAAGGTAAGCGAACCGTTCATATTTTTAAAATCCAACGTATCAATAGAGTTAAATTAGAATAATACAAACGCGTGTATTGTGCTTTTCTTCATTCTAATTAGATTATAAATTACTATCGCAAGTCCAATGTTTTGCGCTTCATTGTTTTGGGCTCGCGATGCACCAGTACACGAAATCTTTGAAAATTGGCTTATTTTCTCTGTCGGCTCGGCCTATCGTTTATTACTATATAAATTCTAATATGTCACTTGATGAAGATAATTTCGATTACGATACCAGGAAATTTGATATCTCGTCGTGACAAGAATTATCATTGGCAAATTTCGTATTTAGAAATTACGATTTCTCTGCCCGGCCGAACAGATTCTCATTAAACGTCCAATGTTTTTCTTGCCTCGTTGTCGTCGACTCGTCATTATCCACTTATGGATAGATCCATGTTAATAACAAAGTTTATAAAATTTGAAAAATCGCGAGTCCGCTGAGGCTCGCCAAGCGTCGCGTGGAATTCTATGGAGTCGCGCGCACGAGAGAGCAAAACGACAAATTCGATCATTTCGCTCACTCCATCATTCCGTCATCGACGCTGCTCTCGAGGATCGTCTCTCTTGTCCGCAGTCGGAAGACGTTGGCTTATCAGACGATGCACGGCGATCATAGAGCGTTATCGTCGTCCTCGTCGTCGCTGTCGTCGTCACGTAATTCGTGGGCGCCGCGTATTTACGCAACCGGTGCGCAGTCGCGCATCCAAGAAGCAGCTGGAAATATGTGCCCCGGCACTGATTATTTATAGAACCGCCTTAAATACGATTGGGGGATAGAGGGAGGGATAAAGCCAGTCAGCGGCTCTTTCTCCCTCACACATGTACGATATCGTCGTCGTTTTCTTCGTCGTCGTCGTCGTCGTCGTCGTCGTCGTCGTCGTCGTCGTCGTGGTCGTCGTCGTCGTCTTCGTCTTCGTCGTCGCTATCGTCATCGTCGGCAGCGGTAGCGTTGGCTACGACGATGACAATGTTAGCGTTGCGCACGCGCCCATTCGCTGCCCGCCTTGGAAATACGATCGGGCTGCGGTGCAATAACGAGAATGGAAAAATTGCATTTTCTGATATACCGAGAAAAGTCTCTCGAGCTTACGCTAGTGAAATGAAGTGAAGCGAAAGCCCCGAGCCCTGGCCTTTCTTGACAGCCGACGTTCTTCTCCTTTTGCCCGTCCGGGGATACGCGGTAATTCTCGATGTTATAGACGCGCACAACATGGTTGAGAGAGAGAGAGAGGGGGGAGGGGGAGGTATAAACGCCGACGATCAGCGCGGATTCATCGAGTGCCGATCGATCGGCGCAACTACGAAAGCGATTATATTATGCAAGCGATGCAATGCGGGGACTTTGGTCGATTGATGATTGGGCAGCGAGCAGGAGCGTAATTTTCACACTCGACCCTTTTATATGGTCGCAGGAGCAACGACGTTGCATTGATTTTTTTTTTCTTTTTCTTTTTTTAAATTTTTTTATTGCACTTTGCCGAAGCTAAAGTTTATAGTTTATTGAGTCGAGAGACTTAAGGCTTGAGGCCGTCAGTTGTCAGTCGACTATAAGTCGAAGAGTAATAAGAAGCTCGAGTCTCAGCTCTAACTTTTAAAAACTTTGCGGCAGTTCCATTAATGTAAATCATCTGCAAGTTTTTTTTTTTTTTTTTTTTTTTGTTTTTTTTTTCTGATTGGGCTGAGAGCATCAATATGGAAATAATACATTGGATTGCACATCGGTTGTATTTTTGTTGTAAGCCGCGAGCTCACAGTTAGCATCATGAGCATTCGTGAAAATCATGTAAGGATAATAAGTGTGCAAGTAAATTTACTCGAGTGCACGATATAATCTTCATTTCGTAAGTATAAATACACGAAAAAAGCGATCGAATTTATATATCGTTGGCGCCATTTAGAATCAGCATTATTTTGCATCGATAATACAGAAATACATTAAATTTTTTCATTAGATTTTTTTTTTTAATATATCGAGCCGATGGTTTTTATACGAACGAGAAGAATTCTTACTTACAAATAAGTCATTCGTAACAGTAACTATAAAAGCGTAAGTAAATAGTCAGAGAGGCCGGAAATTTCAAGACACATTGCGTAAGCGCTTGATGTAAGAAATCTTTGCTTTCATTTGTACGCGTATCTTCAGTACTCCTCGGTAAAAGTTCTGTAATAATTTGCAAGAAATTGGCTTGGCTTGCCAAACTCATTCCTTCTCTTTCCCCCTTGTATATAAATATATACGTATCTCTTGGTCATATTATATTCCTCACTTCCCCTATTCTTACCGCACGTCTCTTCATGTTCTTCAATCTATCTTTCTCTTTCTCGTGTACTATATCCCCCGTTCGATCTATCGTTATAACTCTCTCTCTCTCTCTCTCTCTCTCTCTCTCTCTCTCTCTCAATCATACGTATATACGCGCTCATGCATATGTACGCAACAGAGACAAACAGCAAGCTCAAGAATAGCGAAAGAGTCGTAAGTCCGTATCTAAACGAGACGTCAACACACTTGCGTTACGCAAAACTATACGTATGCGGCATGCAATCAAAAAAATAAGTCCGTATCTAAACGAGACGTCAACACACTTGCGTTACGCAAAACTATACGTATGCGGCATGCAATCAAAAAAAGATTAAGTGGAAAGAATTAGTGATATATATATATATATATATAGAGAGAGAGAGAGAGAGAGAGAGAGAGAGAGAGAGAAGAAAATTGTCAATGCGGGTGGGTACTATTGGGTGCGTCGAATGAAATCCCTAGCGAATGACAGAGAAGCTAAGTGACACGAGTGTACCCTTAAGACGTCTCGTCTCAGAGGTGGAATGCGAGGAGAATAGAAAATGATGATAGGCGTGAGTAAATATTGATCGATAACGATACGAGTTTATTGTAAAACAGATTAGCATATATTACATTCTCTCTCTCTCTCTCTCTCTCTCTCTCTCTCTCTCTCTCCCTATCTCTTCTTCTTCTTCTTCTTTTTCGCTACCGGTCTTTTATATTATGTAAAAAAGAAAAAGAAAAAATCAATACAAAATAAGAAGGGAAGTAGAAAATAAGCCATAGAAAGAGAAAAAAATGCTTTATCAATCGAGATATCGGAGAGAAAGTAAAAGTCGAGAACTTTAATCGACAGTGTCTTAGGCGAGGGTGAATTTGGTAAACCGAGTCTAAGATACGTGCATGAAAGTGCGATAAAGACCGGATGCATCGATCGTGCACGAACTGAATGCAAGATAACTAATTCTACATTGATATATTTCGAATTGTTATTATTCCATCGAACGCGCGCACTTGCACACACATTCACATACGCGCGCGCGCGCGCGTACACGTAGGATTGTGATCGGACGAAAATACGTACGGCGGCGAGTGAGGCGAGTCAGGCGTGCCACGATCACTGCCCAAATGCCAATGAAGCGACGCGAAAGCTCTCATCATGTAGCAAACGGACGCCAAGTAAAGCCAGCGGGAGTCTCGCGGCTCTCGTCCGTGTCACGTGGCCATCGGCTCCTCGACCGTCCTCGACTGGCGAAGCATCCTCGAGACTCGTCGAACGTCCGGGTCGGGTCTAGCGATTAAAGTCGGGTAACCACAGCTGCTGTCGCCGCTACCGCCGGGAGGGCGATCGCGCGAGCGTACGAAGGTGCGTTATCGCGACCGGCGCTGTGGCTAATCACTGGGGCCCCGGGTCGGCGAAGGTGGCCAACGCTGTCGTTACCGCCGCCGTTGCCGCTACCGCTACCGCCGCCGCTGCCGCTACCGCTACCGCCACCGCCACCGCCACCGTCACCGCCACCGCCACTGCCACCGTCACCGTCACCGCCACCGCCACTGCCACCGTCACCGTCACCGCCACCGCCACTGCCACCGTCACCGTCACCGCCACCGCCACTGCCACCGTCACCGTCACCGCCACCGCCACTGCCACCGTCACCGTCACCGCCACCGCCACTGCCACCGTCACCGTCACCGCCACCGCCACTGCCACCGTCACCGTCACCGCCACCGCCACTGCCACCGTCACCGTCACCGCCACCGCCACTGCCACCGTCACCGTCACCGCCACCGCCACTGCCACCGTCACCGTCACCGCCACCGCCACTGCCACCGTCACCGTCACCGCCACCGCCACTGCCACCGTCACCGTCACCGCCACCGCCACTGCCACCGTCACCGTCACCGCCACCGCCACTGCCACCGTCACCGTCACCGCCACCGCCACTGCCACCGTCACCGTCACCGCCACCGCCACTGCCACCGTCACCGTCACCGCCACCGCCACTGCCACCGTCACCGTCACCGCCACCGCCACTGCCACCGTCACCGTCACCGCCACCGCCACTGCCACCGTCACCGTCACCGCCACCGCCACCGCCACCGTCATCGCTAACGCCGCCTCTGCCGCCGCGTACGTAGACTCGAGTGGACGACGCGGCAGTAGTGGGACGACGCGGTTACGGTGCCGCGGCCGCCGAAAATCGGCGAGCGATGCGCGCCACGGCCGTCATTCAATGCTTGACCTTTGTTCCAGGTCATGGAGGAGACTAACACATTCATAACGTGGCCATCGAGGCTCAAGATCGGCGCCAAGTCGAAAAAGGGTATATAATATTGAACGAGCTTTTACGGAACGATGCGTTCCGCTCTTGTTTTGTGCTGTTGTCGCTGCGTGTGCGTCTGTATGTGCGTTTGACGGTTGTGTGCCCTAATCGTCGCGTCGGCCGGTGTTTTAAAGTGATTGAGACGCGGCGCGACTCGTTTGCGGGGAGATTTCTTGCGCTCGGCCGATAAAATCCATGGGGATTCTCGCGATATTTGGCCTCGGTCCACGAGGCAGCGATCATTTTATATTCGTAGACTGTATTTTGACGTCGCGGCATTATGTCAGCTTGATCGCTGACGTTAAATCGCGCGGAGTTATTCGCGCGATCGGCAACTTCATGGGCAAGCGAAAATTTCGCTCCAACGGATGTCCCGAAATAATTGATCGCGATGAATTTTCAAGGGGGCTGGTTAATAATGTCCGGGAGCTTCTGCAATATCGTCATTGGGATTTATCGATGAGCGTTACGAAGGAATATCGAGGCATCCAACGGTCATCAGTGCCGTTGATATTTCTCGCTCGTTTTGTATTCGTAAGCAATAAGATAGTAATTACGTTAGCGACCAATGTCGGATGCGCGTTGTCACGACATTGCGATAATAATGCAGCGAATTTAACGAACGCGGTCTGCATTGTGCTAATCTTAATTTAATGTGATTATGCTTAATTCGATGGGGCGACATTGCGAAATGTAAATTATACTTTACTTTTTTATTTATTTATTTTTCGTTTTCCTTTTCCTCGGAAGACTTTTATTTTAACGGTCGGCTGCTTTCGTGGAAAATTGAATTGTTAAATCGCCCCTTCCTTCCTTCCCTTTCTCGCCATTCAATTCGTTTTTCCATGCACTATTTGCACAATTGATCTTCGATAAGAGTAGCAAGCCCGCTGGCATGCGATTGTGAATGAACGGAAGTAAAGAATGAGAGTGTCGTTTATAAACATTAAAAGCAGCAGCGTGTAGCAACGATATTCAGCGAAGCTAATGCCGAGCGCCTTGTTTAACGCCACAGATCCACATATCAAAGTCGCCGGGCTTCAGGAGAACATCCGCATAGCCAAGGATCAGATAACTCAGGTTCTGGACACGCGGGTAGGTAGTGGCCCTTTAGGTGCAAATATATCGCATGATTTGCCATCGTTCACTAACACTAACACGTTGTCGCGCTACTTGTCTTTCATCAGCAAAACAACAGGGTGACGATGAAGTTGGACGTCAGTTACACTGACCATTCCCACATAATCGGCAAGGGTGGTCTCACCATTAAAAAAGTCATGGAGGAGACCAGCTGCCACATCCACTTCCCCGACAGCAATCGCAGCAATCACCAGGAAAAGAGTAATCAAGTCTCAATCGCTGGCGACATGGAAGGCGTCGAGAAAGCTCGCGCTCGCGTCCGAGTAAGACCCATTTATTCATTATCTATACTTTTTTTCTTTTTTTTTCATTTCTTTTCATTTATCCACCCTATTATGCCCCCTCGTGTCAATTTCTAAACTAAATTGAAATTTTTTTTGTTTTTGTTTTTGTTTTTTTATTTTTTTATCGCGGTAGAAGATAAAAGAAAGAAAGAGAAAAGCGGTCTAGTTGTAATGCAAAGTAATGTCGAGCCTATGCGATTATGTTTATTAGCCGTGCGAAACCAAATAAGCCACTCGAAGATAACGCTGTCAAAAATATATTTATCAAGTGTTGCACTCTTCCACCACGTAATTCATTATTGAATTTCGCTTGTGTTAGCATTGCCAACCGCTTAATACGTCCTCCGATGCATTTAATCCTTGATAATCCTGATAATAACTCTGGGCAAATATCTTAAATCTCGTGTCAAGCGAATTTAACTGTCTCGGCAAGTTAAAGTTAACGCTGCGAGCGAGTGGTGTCGTTCCGGACGGTACAAAAAGAAAAAGAAAAAAGAAAAAAGAAAAAAAAAAAATTCGAATTTATCGATATGAATTAATAAAGTATGTGGGTCATGTCTGTTGTTTGTTGTAAACGGCAGACTCTGACGCCGCTAATCTTCTCTTTCGAGCTGCCGGTGATGGGCAACAGCTCGCAAATCGCAGTCGCGGCTAGCGCCACCCCCTTTTCTACTTCACCGTACATCGTCAAGATTCAGGAGAAATATAATGTGCAAGTGATGTTCCGCACAAGGCCGAAGCTCCACGCAACGCTGGTCGTCGTCAAGGGATGCGAATGGGAGGTCTCGAAGGTCAAGGAGGCGACTGTCCTCCTTATTCACCATATGTGCGAGAATCTGGCTGTAAGTTCGCTTCAAATCATTTTTTTTTTTTGTTTTCCTTTTCCTTTTCCTTGTTGCACCCCAAGACTTTCTAATCCACCACCGACCTATCGTATTTTCTACCGAATGCCGCTGTAATAAAATCAGCGCTCGGCAAAATTCCTTCCTGACTACCGTCTAACAACACGTGGATTATCATTAAAGATTTTAAAATTTATGGACTATATTATCGATTAAATCATACGCGCTTCATTATATTTGCATGAGAGCTTTGATTAACGGGAAAATTGACTTTCACTCGTCTAGCTATTAAACTTACAATTGTCAACATTTTGAAGTAAATATTCCAATACAACCTTTAAGCGATTATTAGGGTTAAACCGATCGAATTTCTGAAAATTGTCGACTCATAATGTTCCCAGGGAAAATTTAAATGTTAAATGCAAATTTTCTACCACGATATAAATTGTTTCACTTCGTGGCTTAATTTAAATATAACGCGACATCAAATATTTTTCTCTCCTATTAAGTATTATGAATTTATAGCAATTTTGACGGATGATTAAACTCGACAGCTAATCTTAATTTAATCAATTAATTAATTAAAATTATTTGAATTTTGACGCTTATGCGCCACACTTAATGCAATGGTCAGCATTACATTTCATACTGGCATGAGCTTCACCAAAATTTTACCTTTCATTTATTTGTTAGTTTATTTAAATTATTTATTTATAAAACTATATTTACATTCAGATGGCATTTATAATATAGAAATATTCGCACTTTTAAATATCATAATCGTTGATAATCCAAAATTTAAGGAAAGATTTTGTGTCAATGAAGATTTTTTGAATAATGCCTTTAGTATGAATTTAAGGAATGTCGAATTAAATCATTTTTATCTTACTTTTAGCAATTTTATTAACAATTTGAGCAAGGCATTACTTATAGTACAAGTTGAATATATTTTATTAGCATATTAGTACATAGTTTAAGAAATGCAATTAAATTGTGCAAAGTTAGATTGCTTAAAAGTGTTTATAATTGTTTCTTACTTAAGACAATGAAAAATTAGGATATTTAAATATTTATTCGATTGAAGAAAAAAAAAACGATAATCCATCTAGAAAACAGGCAAATAACAAAAAACAAAAATCAAAGAATTGCCCGACAAAAAAAAACAATGAAGAAACTTTTACTAAACATCAAAGAATTCTAAAATGAAGTAAAGCCTGAGTAATGTATATTTTCATTGTGTGATTTGAAATTTTGATTTGAACTTTAACGTATATTACTCGAGTGTTAGTGTTTCGAAAGTTTGGCATATCAAATCCATTCGCTTACAATAAATTGATATTCATTCGTTGAAAATTAAAATACATCTTAAATATTATGTTTACCCTTCGTACGCTTATTAAGAAATTCCGCCTGAAAATCTCAGCTTTACGATAGATTATGGCCAATTATAGGTAAATTATTAAATAATACGTGCAAAAATAGAGATAACCTTAAATACCGAATAACGAGTTACGATATCAGTAACGATAAAACGAAACTTCGGTCTTGCGCGACGCTATATTCATCGCCTACCATATTTTACACAAAAAGCTTGAAATTGTATCTACGTAATTTTATTAATCGGGACAAGTAGATTTTGCTTATCACAGGCAAGAATTCTCGTGTATTATACCGTATTAATCATCAATCGTGGAAGGAAAAAAATTATGTTTTTAAAAGTATGATGAGCAAATTAGTCATAAATACTAATGTGATTTTATTTGTTCTACGACGATGGGAAGTATAACTTACGGTGACATTGTCAAGTGAAGTATTTGAGAATAGTTTTCGATTTTTAGTTTTATATGAAAGTAATTAACGCTTCAGCGCGTTTATTATTTATGATGATCGTAAATCATCATATAGTTTAAAAAATTTTGATGGCCATTAAAATATATATATATATTTTTTTTTTTTTTTTTTTTTTTTTTTTTTTTTCCCGATAGTTAAAGATGATGTAGAAAGTATGGAACGCATGATAAGGCTTTGATTTATGTAAACAAAGACATTGTGTACAACGGAATACGTAGGTATCACTAGAGCTAAATAGTTAACTCAATTCTTCGAAAGTATCAAAACTAATATTTTATTAAACATGGTATTATAGAAATTTTAAAAATGTGGCTTTAGGTCAATCAAATTATGATTGTATGATGATCGGTGTTTATGATACTCCACTGCATGTAATGCGTGATCACATTACTGCACATTAATCACACAACTTTATTAACCCTTATAACTATTGAAAGAGAAAAAAATAGTAAAGATTATTAATACAGACACTTGGATAATTTAAATGGAAAAAAAAAGAAGACAAAAATTCTAGACAATTCTTTGATTGTTAATGAAGAGTGAATTTGATGAAGTTGCAAATTAAAACAAAATGGTGTACAGTAAAAAGTAGCTTTAATTCGCTATTTAATAGTTTCGTATCCAAATAAAATTCTATTAAATTAAACGGTCGTATGATATTTAAATATGCGTGCTTTCTCATAAAAATAAAATATTTCTATATTCGCGAAATCAAAGCTATTTTTATGAATTTCCTATTTTCTACTTTTTGTGAATTGATTGGTTTTGAATATTAATATTAGAATTGTGCTTTTATAATATTAAATCTATTTATTTTTTTTTTTTTTTTTTTTGGTCAGTTGTCAATGCAATAATATAACAGAAACTTAACGGAAAACGTATTTAAAAATAACAGGAAAATATTAATTTTATTTTTAAAAAAATCATCATAAATGGGGTTTGAAATATTAATGCTTTTAATTATCAATATTCATAATATCATTAAAATTCATACACTGTTAGTACATTTAATTTTTTCCATTATAAATGTTGAAGTTTTATCAGTAATTACAGAAATTTAAAAAACTTTAAACTTTTTACAATCCACGAATTTTAGACATTTCAATGAAAGGATGAAAATGGATTAATATTAATAAAAGTAATATTTTTCTTTGAGAATTTCATTTGCTGAGGTAGAAAGGGCGTGGAGACTCTATAGTTGTACCATTATCTTCAATAAATGAAGTATGAACTTTAAATTACTATAGCTTACGACATCTTATTTTTTTTTCCTTCATAATGTACGTCAGGTATTGCTGCCTCATTTACTTCACTTCTTATAAAATTCCATTGCCTTATCGGTCAAATTACCATGGAATTTAATTGTATCATTAAGTAATCTTTAAGATTTAAAATTTTTATTATCCTCGTGAAAGACTACACATAAGTTTGAATAAATGCTATAAATTCCAATGTATCAGCGTTGTCGAGTTGAAGTTTTGTTTTGCACGTGAAATAGCAACGCAAATGAAATTTTCATCGATAGAGGCACTTACATTACCAGTTGTAGCGTGGACTTTGAAGCTTTTATTTTAATATTAAGAATAAATGAAGGAAAAAAAAAATTATTTTTTTTATTCAAAGATTTTCACGTAGAATGTATTTTATAAGAAGAACGTCGAAAAATGATTTTAAATAAATAAATAAATACTTGCCGTATATCCTTAGAAATTTTCAATATAATGATTACGCATCTTATTGATAAATATACGATAATAAAAGAAAATAAAAAAAAAAAAAAAAGAAAAGAAATAGTTATATACATAAAATCTTGAATGTTGATAATACTTATTAAAAAATATGTTTTATTTAATTTTTGTCTCTGATGTAAGTATAATTTTTCAAAATATTTTCATATGTCTAAACGGTAAATGTGATTCACACACACACCCGTGCCCTCCCCTCCCCTCCCCCACCGAGCAACGTTTTAATCGACCGTTCATTTATAAATGCCAAAAATATATCGAATTTTTATACCTACGCATAAAATCCCATTGACAGCCGACAATTTTCAATGACAATATGTTTCATAAAACATAATTCAAGGTTGATAATTTCCAATCGCAATTATTTTCATCGGGTCAAACCTGAAACCAAAGTCTTCCAGGTCGTATCTTTACTATTTATGTTATTCTGCGGAGCCTTGTCAATGGCAATTGGCCAAGTAAATCAAGCATTAACCAATCGAGTGCCGTCCCCGTTTTACCGCAGACAAAGCTCCGTAGAACAGCATAAATAGCGGCCGCGCGACCTGACACTTTTTAGTTTCGGTATATGCTTTGAGGATGTAATGTCGAGTATTCCTGAAACGTTGGTGTATTTGAACGACGCCTTAGAATATATTCAATTAAAAGTATGAAAATGATGAGCGAGAATGAGAATGGAAACTTTTATAACAACGCGCCAATAATTATAGTGGCGAATACGTCACTCCTTAACCGTTATTGGACTCATTTCAATGGCTCGTCATTAAAAAATATAAAAAAAAGATTATATTTAATTATGCTGTATTGATAATGTTTTCTGCTAATAATATAGCCGATGTGATTTATAGTTTGTCGTTATTTCTATTTTCAATGTGGATCATCAATTTTCCATTTAATGACTAGAGCTTTTGCATTTAAGTTTTGTCCGTATAACCATTAGTTATTAACTGACTTAAGAATTAAGCGAAGGATGTGGTCTTTTTCTTAAATTAAACGTTAAGAAGCACAGTTCTTTATATAGAGACTGCTGTTTGTCTTTAAAAAAAAAAAAAAAAAAAAAAAAAAAAAAAATTAATGAATTATTTTATTTAATCATTATAAATTATCGGAATGTTTAGTTGAGAGAAATGTATTTTATACACATATATTCAGAGTAATAATGAATTATTGATTTCGTGGTTTTCTTGGAGCTGCAATAAATTTTTACTAAAATTTATGCCGCTCTTATTAGTCGAAGTAGTAACCGAAGAGAATATTTTGTAGAAGATATTAAAAAATATTTTGACCTTTTTTTGTCATTACGAATGAAAAATAGTTTGTATCATCAAGTCTGTCGCCATTTAGCAATCGATCTTCTTTCCTTCTTCTTTTGTAAATTTTCTTATTTTAAATTTCATGCAAAAATGTCTTTATAGAATTCAATTCACTTATATGAATATTGTAATAGTAAAATTAATTTATATTTCATTTAGTTTTTTTTTTTTTTTTTTTTAAACAATTTTTAAAAACATTACTAAAATTATCATCGATATGTCATCGTGAATATTATTATTTATGTAATAAGTCAATTGAATCGAATTGCAATAGGCATTGTTACTTAATAATATTATCAAGTTCAAAACCTTTGGCTATTAAATGATTCGTATCATAGAAACGTAATTGATTCTATTTACTTACGAATGTTTAAATCATAAATTCTCATAAAAAATACCGAAACTTTGACAAGTTCACATTTGCTTAAAATTCTTATCCGTCATTTATAAAGAAAACGAAATTTTTCCCGTTCTTCAGAGCCAGATACAGGTACAAATGTCAATGGAAATATCGCCGCAACATCACAGCGTCGTTCTAGGTAAGCAGAGCAACAATTTGAAATCGATCATGCAACGCACGGCCACACAGATAATGTTTCCTGATGCTGGCGATCCGAACATCCCGAGTTTAAAGAAAAGTAATGTGACGATTACTGGATCTATTCACAATGTATATTTAGCACGGCAGCAACTTATGGTTAGTTAAATATTTGTTATCCCAAATTATTTGAAAGTATTGTATTTTTGTTTTATTTATATTATTACGCAATGTTCATTACCAATTGTTTTTGTAACTCTCATGCTAACTGAATATAGAGATGCGAAGGATAATATTTACTAAAAATTACACGTATCACCGTAGTACAATTTTTTTATATAACCAATGTCGTTCAATAATGATTAGATTTATTATAGAAATTTAATTATATGTAACAATTTAGCTCTTAAAGACTTATTTAATTTCTACAATACACTGTGATTAATTGATATTATCTTATGATTCAGGGTTCCTTGCCATTAGTATTGATGTTTGATTTACCGGAGAAGTCAATTAATTCTGTTACAACGGATGATGTATCACGACTGATGCAATCGTTGGACGTTTTTATTAACGTTCGCCATAAGCCTAAACAAAGTACGCTCTCAATTGTGGTCAAAGGCATTGAGAGAAATGCTAGTAATATTTATGAAGCTAGAAGGCAACTTCTTGGTTTGGAAGAAGTTAAGGTTGTAGCCGATATTCCACAGACTTATCTTGCTCCTAATTCGACGAGCTTCATCTTACAAGGTGGCTCCGTACCTCTTGGTCCATTTGTAATTAACGGTTAGTTGTTTATCATTAGCCTTGCCAACGGTTTCTCTTAACTTTTAAAATCATTCAACGAAAACATAATAAGTGTTTAAATCATAATAATATACGAATAAAAATTCTCATAAGCATTCGAGTAGCTATACCGGTATGCCATACGTTTTATCATATTAATGAAAAGATAATTATCATAATATAATATTCGGAGAAAAGTATTATAATAATTCGTTGAGTAAATTACGTAGTTAGGCATTAATGTAGAAAGAAAACTATGTGGCACAAAAGTGTAATATTCTTAATGATAAGACCGCGTTAATTTTCAAATCATGTATTAACAAGACAATTACGCGCCTAAGTGATTATGAATTTCATAAGTCGATTGCGTAAACTTTAATTGGCTAATTTAATCATCAAGTTATGATTATGCGAATATTGACTTTGTCAATAATCATTAATTAAAGCCACACGCGCACACACGCGCACACACGCGCATGCACGCACGCACGCACGCACGCACGCACGCACGCACATATGAAAGTTCAAGAGAGTTGTACGAATAAGAAGAAAGGAATCCCGAGCTTTCCATTATTCATGATTATTCAATTACAGATTATTGGCAAATTGAATTAAATTTATAAACTATTTTATCACAATCGAGGCTTTAATAATAACACTTAAAAGTTCTGAATATAAGAGACTATTATCGAAATATGAGTCTTGATTAAAAAGAAAAAGAAAAGAAAAAAAAAACATAAGAGACAAGAGCCTCGTGCTCATAGTATGTACGTATAAATGCATCGAAAATCGAAGAAATTATCGTGTGCAGAGCAAATTCCAATGTATTGGAGATTATATGAAAAGGCAAATTAGAAATTAGTTTTTCACTATCGTAGTTTGTCAATTTTTTTTTCTTTTTTCTTTTTTTTCTTTTAGAAAACATCCCAAACAACGGCATGAGTTCGCCACCATCATCGTTCTGCAGTATGTCGCCATCATCAGGAATACACTCGGCGTCCAACAGTTCAGTGAGCTTTCCCGCGCACTGGGCTATCACCCCAATGCCTCCGTCTCTCTTCTCACCGATCTCATTGCATCCGAACCATCTCACTCCGACTTACGCGTACCCGCCGCATCTCAGCCATCTGCTAACAATGCAACAGCACCAACGACAGCAACAGCAACAACATCAACATACGTTGCATAATACGGGCAAGGGCCTAATGGGGCTCGACGCTCAATTACACTCGAGTGCCAATAATATGAATAGCGCTCTTAACGGTGTGTTCCTTAATGGTATGCGTAACGGCCTTTTCTCAGATAGTAAGGATAGCAGCGGTTAGTATTCGTTCAACTTTTCCATCTTTTTAACATGCAATATAATTTGCAATAATAATAAAAACGCCGGAAATTATCATCAAATTGATAATTACGCGATGATTATTAATTTATAATTATAATTATGTTTCAAAGGATGATTGATTTTTATATATAATCGTTGCAGCCTTTTCTTCAATAAGCAGTGTATCAAGTTCACTTTCAAGTCCAGCCTTGAGCCCACGAAATGTCTCGCCAATAGACCCAACTTCTGTTGCATGTTCTGAAGTTAATGCGAACCTAGGTAAATTCGTAATATTAGTTGGCAATTGTAATGCGAGTGCGGCGGAAGGCCGAGATTTATCATTAGCTCAAAAATATTAAATGCCCTTGTAGATTTATCAAACGTACTATCCGAATTGACTCTTGCCAGTAATGCTCGAGCTACGGGCAATGAGAAGAAAACGACGCAGTTAGAAATGCAGTCGAATTTGCAGGACTTTACCCCGATGACGTTCGATTATGAACAGAAAAAACTGATGGCCTTAAAGGCCATGCAGACCAAACCAAACGCAAACGATTATCGAGTACCTACCTCCGTTTGGTCGGGATATGGATTCAGTCAAACAATTCCTCATATAGCTTCTGCTACTGAAACCAGCAACGTGAGATTAATATTCGTTAATAACTTACTTGAATACTGTCTGATCGATAAATGATTAATTATAATTTCATCAACGTTCTCGCATTGGTTATATTGGCTGCAGGATACGTTATGTCAAACTTCATCATTATGGAAAGATACGCCTACGCCAACAGCATTAACTCAAGATTATGGCGTCACTTCAACGAAAGACGAGACTACTAATGCCAAAATCACTGGCGTCACTTCCAATTACATCGACAATACGTCCAATTATCTCTTGAAGAAAATCACATCGCAACATCACACCGACCTCGCAAGCATGCTAACTAGCGTAGGTCTGGAAAAATATGTCCGTAAGTCACGTCAATTATTATCTGAAAATTTTAATCAATGGTTATATCGCTGCTATTGATCATGCAACTTAACCAATTGCCTGCTTATGATTAATATAATATGCCAATGGCACCAATTACCGTAAAGGGGTGTTTTTTTTTTTTTTTTTTTTTTTTTTTTTTTCAAATTTCGTTTGAAAGTCGCTGCTTATCGACGACGAGTATTATTGAAAAGCAACGTAAGGTAAAAGTTCGTAGAAATTTTATGCCTAATCGGTGCGTTTGTAAGGGATTTTAATTTAACGAATGTTGCCCATTGCAATTGAAAAGTAACGACGATCTAAATACGCCTAAATCTAATAAAATGTCCAACCTCTCCTGTCTTAGGTTTATTCTTATCTCATGAAGTTGATATGGCTACTTTTCCCTCACTCGTGGAAAAAGATCTCTGTGAAATTGGTATCACAGCTTGGGGAGCAAGACGCAAGATAATGCTTTTAATTTCTGGTTGGTGCATCATCTACTACTCACTCATACACATAATTCGAACGCGTGGCGTGGCAATTCTCGAAATTCTCGAGTCCTCGCCAATTGCTTATTTATGAATAATTTCAGAAATGAACAAGCGAACTAGTCCATTCTCTGGCAGCGCAGCCCCGGGAGCAGAAAGAAAATTTGCATCACTGTCATCGTCATCGACATCGGTGACACCCCCTACGCCTGTTCGCAAATGCAGCCTGGAAAACAATAATTGGTAAACAGAAAATAATTCCTGCTTCCTGTATGAGCATTGGACAAAACAGAAGCAAGATATTTGAAAGTTATTGCGTATTTCTAGTATATATATATATATTGTCACATGAAAGTTTGTTGATAAATTTTGCTTTTTCTTGCTTCGAACAGACACTAGTCCAACAAGTATCCTAATTCGTTATCTATTTTTTTTTCGTATTTTTTTCGTTTTTTTTTTTGTTTTTTTTTTGTTTTTTTTTTTTGTTTTTTTTTTCATCTTCTTCTTTGCACGTGTTCATATTATAACAGCGCCCAGGTGGTGCGAATTAGATTTAAGCTGCAGAATAAGTTATTTTGTTTTCTGCTTTTCGTCACGCGCACGCAACGATCGAACGGATCGTTCGTTGTTACGTATGGTTGTTTATTAAGGTGGTATGATGCATCCGTAAAACGACCGAACAACGATGAAAAACCGTTCTAAAATATCGCTCTCGATTCGTCGGGAAGTCCAAGTGAAGCAGAAGCGAAAACGGATGCATGCGTAACTCGAAGAGAGGGACCGAGGGAGAAAGAAAGAGCGAAATCGAGTGTTATGGAGTGTGAGCGATTGCGAGAGAAAGAGACAGACAAACAGACATAGAGCACAGGTGTGTGGACGCTGTGTGTGACACATTAATACATATGGGATTTCGCTGATTACGTCTAAGTCGATTTTACATCGCGCCGTAGCGCGTCTGTCTGTGATGATGAGAAAAGCGTTCTAGTTGTTCTATTAATAAGATAAGAGAGCTTTATTCCTTATGGAGTTAAGTGTAGAAGTTAAGATTTATAGTGATGTAGGCAAACTTTTGTACCTTCGATTTCGCAACTAAGGCAGGAATGAAGTATAGCGGTCTAGCAGACATAATACAACCTTTTCTGAAATGAAATTGTGAAATTGCCAGATGACGAGTAAGCGTCACAAATACTGTGTCCCTGTGCTACTGTGCCCTTTTGCAAGATAAATTTTTTTTTTTTTTTTTTTTTTTCTTCTAAACATTCTGGAATTGTATTGACCACGGCGTTCATCATCGTTTAGATTTCGAAAATATTTATAATTTATAATCGACAGTTTTGAAAATTTGCTTGTAAGTAATGATGTAAGAGCCGGTAACTCCTGATTTTTAAAAAACTTATACAGTACTTGTTATTAGTATAACTTGAATAGTAAAATTTTAAAGGACCAATGTATTACTCTTTTGTCTCTTTCTTAAACGCACTCTCTCTCCGTCTTTCTCTTTTTCACAAATGTACGCGCATTAACACGCTCAGCACATATTTATATTTCTATATATATATATAATTCGTTATAAATTATTTAATTTTAAAATATTTTTTTCTTTTTTTTTGCAATCAAATGAAACGTTAGGTAATGCTCATTGTTAAAAGTCAATAACGGGAGACAATGTTTGACAATAAAGTTCTGTCCCTCTATGAAATAGAATCGGTTCACGAGCAGAATTTTTCGAGCGTACCTAACGAAGGATTTTACCGCTGAGAGTTGTTGACTAAGTTTGTACAGTTTTAAGCGTTAATTATTGTTGTTGGAAATACTTGAGATAATTATTGAAATATGTTTTCGATCGAATCATGCGTGAGCTATCGTTAATAACATAAAATGTGTCTATGTGATTGTTTACGGACGTACTATTATATCTCATTCTGGATGATTTATTGTACTTGATGTAAAAGTGTCTGGGGTCTAAAAAGTTATTAAAATTGACCCCTCGGTTTACGCGTTTAAAGAGTAAAATTAATTATCAAGGTACTAAGCCTTTTTCCTTTAATTTTCGCGCTGGTTACGACAAGGTTAGGAAATAAATTAAATGAAGGAATTAAATGAAATTAAAAATATATATAAAAAATAAACAAGTATTAGCGTTAATAAAAGACTATCTTAATTGAGATATACAATAAGAGCGCCTGACTGCGATTTAGAGAGAACGCATTTGAGCCATTATGAATAATAATAGAGTATCGAGTCATAGCACCGCAAAACTTTGATAAATCAATGTCACACACAACACCCTTCGATTCCTACAAAGATTAATGGCAAAAGTTATAGATAATTTTTCCTCCATTTCAAACAGATTCAAGTAACGTTGGCCAGCTTTTTCTTGCAATTTACTTCTCATTAATGTCGATAACTCCTCACAATCTACTCTTTTATTCTGCTAAAATTAAAGTTCTCTTACGCGATTCCTATGCAAAACATTAGAATACAATTTATTTACGAATTACAATATTTATAGCAGAATAAATTGGACAAATTGGAGTGAGTTGAATTTATAATCACTAAGAAATAAATAATCTTAATATTACAAAACAAGAGAGGAAAATAAAAGCCTGCCGTGTAAAACAGATGGGGGGAACAAAAAAATTACATAATCAAATACGATTTCACGTGTAGAAAGGATCGTGGCTCTTATGTGTATGCGTAACAGTCAATGCGTTATGGGAAAAAGCATTTTATAAGACTTAAGAATGATATTTTTTAAAAATGATATATCTAATTAATACTTTGATTAGCTCTCAAAATGATAGATTTACTATTGATGGAATGTGAGTGTATGTTTTTGTATGCGCGCATGCTTATATATACATACCTAATATACTATTATACTTTATTAAGATAATGAATGCTAATACCTTTATATTGATGATTGTTGGTTTGATAGAAGTAAAAAAACATTTTTGTATCACTATTTTTAATAAAGTCAAGAATTTATACAAAAATATCAAACTTATTTACATTTCATATTACTGGAGCAAAGTTCATTGTTACAAATTGGACATTGATATGGATCCGTCGCCATAAAATTTGCTTTCAAACAATAGTAGCAAAATATGTGACAACCAGCCCAGTGGGGCAATATAGGTGGTTTTTTACAATAGGAGCCGTTAATTTACAATTGCTTTTAAGATATTTGACTTTCTTAGTAGACCATAAATTATTCCACAAATTTTGAATAATTCGAAAATCTATCATAGGTATACCAACCGTAAATAGTTCGATCAGGCCGTGCCATAATAATTCTCTAGTCATATAAGAATATCCAATCGGTCGTGGCTTATTCATATTTAAAGACTGGCAATATATACCCAATATCTTTTCAATCCAGCGTGGCTGATTGCCTATATGAAGAAAAACCAGACTCCATATAAAATTGATTAGATGAAGAATATTATCCAACTGTTCGATATAATGTTTATACTTATATTTCTCATCGTTTGTCGATAATCTTGAGAAGACAAAATTTTCATTAATTAAACGTTTCTGTAAGTAGTTGGGTACCGTTAACAACAAAAATAATAGTATGGACTTTCTTTTGTTCAAATTTTTATATGACAAATTTAGTAGATTTTGTCCAAAAGTTGAACAATCGTTTTTTAACGAATATCTCCATATGAAATACTTAATGAAGACGTCCAGTTCTGGTTCCCATCTTATTATCTTGCCAGGATCAAAATATTTACTTACTTCGCTTATTTGATCTCTGAGTACCTTGTAAATCTCATTATCCAACTGTATTGCATCAAGTTGATTGATTCGAGATACGAACGAACGGTCGTTCATATTTATTAATAATTATGAAAAATTGCAGTCCGAATTGTTGAAGATGAAAAATCAACTGAGTCATCGCTCCTTCCATACTCTACACGTGACAAGACGTAAACATAATATTCGCAATGCCATTGTTAATAGCGAGCTGATTAGGAAATTAATTAACGAATTAATTAAATATAATTGATGAAAGAAGGCACTTTGAATCCTTCGAATACGGGTGAATATTATGCGAATCGACGTAAATAACAGTGAAAATAACAACTATTAAGAATCGTAGAATAAGGAATAAGAACTGCATTAGGCTGCGCGCACTTACGTTTATTCATACAATCGCAATACGGAAAATAAGAATAATGAAATAGGGTGCGTAACGTTATCTACACGCAACATCGAGAGGACACATTTAAAGTTAATATACGTTTAAAAAATTTTCAATTGCAAACTGGAAAGACATATAATTACGAATACTTTCATGCTAATTCATTAATGTGCATTCGTTTGCATTCGTTATAATCCAACATTAAGTAAATTTCTATTATCGGCAATCCAATGTCAAATGAAATAAATACATCGAGTTAGTGTGATGCATATATACAGCTAATTTTAAATAAGAACATTTTTTAATCACACGATACGTAATTATTACTTTAACGAATAAACATAAAAATAATTGTGTATTTAGTATCGATAGCTTTATTTGACAATTCAATGAGAAAACTTATAATATTCATTTCACATTTATGACATGTTCTAACAAACAGGCAATTTTTTGTTGTTTTTGTTGTTGTTGTTTTTAATAATTTCTGGTCTAAAACGTTCGCGCGTAAAATCCTAGGGGAAGTTTAACGAGAAATGCTACAGACCGTAGCATAATATCCCCAATATCCATGAAGTATAATTTACGGCGCGATCGAAGGGAAGTAAAGCTACTCGTCATTTCGACGAATTTTGTACGAAATTGAAGGGAAATTGCGTTAAGAAAGAAAAAAAAGGTTTGCTTCAATCAGTGGACAGCCCGCATCGCATAGGGCGGGGTGTGTGCGTGGGCGGCTTCAATCCCCCATCTTGCTTACCCAGGTAAACAGGGATACCGTTGCTTCATCACCGTTGATTTTATCGCAAATGCGAGCGTTAGATGTAACAGCTACTACGGCATCGTCACCGATGCATGATGACCTTCATTAGCGCGGATGGTCGCCTGCGATAAAGGATTAGATTTCGGTTGCTTAAACCTCGACCAGACGCACGGCTCTAAAGATCCTGGGTAATTACAGTGACCGATGATCTCTCGGTGATCGGGATTTTCCTGCCATATACTTATAGCGGCCATTAAATCCTTATGTTATTACTACTATTCGTCAGGAGCGAGGAATCTGTAAAAATTCCCTTCTCATAATAGATATTGGGCTGTCTTTGGCAGGCTACCGAGCTGTAATAACCGTTGAAACTTGGCGCGCCCGCACGATTTTAATAATTAAGAAACATCGATGCTAACCGCGCCTTACATCACGTAACTTTTATAGAAATAGCTTCGCCCTGCGCTGCTTTATTATTAAGGACATTTGACGTTCGCGCGAGCGATTGTTTAATTCTAGGGTTTGTGGCATTCCGCCTTAAAGCCACGTATAAAAACTCATACATATATATATATATATATAGATATATAGGCGAAGAGAAGGAATTGGGTAGCACCAGCTACAAACACGCGACCGCGAATTTTACGCATGCGATCCGAATACGAGGAGGAAATGTCTCTAATCGCGATTACATACGACAAGCAATAAATATCTTACGGCGTATAAAGAATATCTGGCTATGGGTTGGAGTTTCGAGTATGCTTTGAGATCGGGGAGGAACATGTAATATGTATGAGCACCGTACGTCTTTAAATAAAGACGACTCTTTGGGATATAAAAGGGAAAGCCAGGCGATAAATCATAGCGTGTAAGAGTGGGTAACGATAATCGCGACGGCTTTGGCAATTAATTGGAATATTAATTCGTAGCTCCGCATGCAATGTACTGCATTCAAATAATAAGTACGAGAATAAAGATTGCAGTGTGCGTAATAACTCAAGAATGGAGCATTTTTATGAAAATCGATAAAACGTAAAAACAATAGATTGGAGGAGCATTCTCCATCCAAGTTTACTCATGATCAAATCGCAAAAAATGTTTTGCATAATAATGCTGCTCGCGTTCGAGGTAGTCAACATCTATGCAAACATATTTACACTGTATTTGAAGATTCTTTCTTCTCCACAGCCCCCCCCCCCACCCCCCACGCCCCAAATTAAATCTCAAAATAATTAATCATGAAATCCAATTATATGTAAATATCAGTTTATCGGCACATTAAAATTCGATTTCCCGTACTTTTACGATTGATAAATTCACCCTCCCTCGCCCGCCGCGGATCAACGCAAGTCCCAACAGCTCAATGATTGAAACTCCCACTCCGACGGAAATGATTTAACAAAGGAAATGTTTAACAACCTGTTCCGCGAGTCTCCATCGTCGACTTTCTCATTTATCTCACCGAATTTTTATATTAACGAGCATAAGCGCCCATTGTCCAATAAGTTTGAAATCGACGTTCGAAAATTATTGGCGGAATTGTTCGATCGATAAAGCAGCTCGCGTGCATTAAGTCAGCTAGCCTCTGTAGCTAACTGATTTTATCGTTTAATCTTGTATTATTAAAGCCGCAAGAGTCGTTCGACCATTGCAAATCTTCAAAATAACTCAATATTATAAAAATTCAGCTAGTAATAGCTGAACACGTGCCTTTACATATACGAGAATTTCATAATTTTCACACCCGAGGCGTTATTTTCATCAATTTGCGAACAAGGATGTACCGCATACACCGACGACTGCTAATTACTCGCTTTCACGCTCTCACAAATTACAAAGAAGCTTATCGAGACCATCAATCTGTCTCATTCTCTCTCTCTCTCTCTCTCTCTCTCTCTCTCTCTCTCTCTCTGCAGCTTTAAATATGGATCTATTCTAATAGACAGGATAACGCTGACGATGTACTTAAACATCTTTGATTCATACAAAAGCGCGACAAAATAGAGGAATAATATGAAAATCGAGAGACCGAGCAAAAGTCCGTGCATTACTCGTGCTGCAAGCGACAAGTGTATGCATGTGCGTGTGTATTGTGTGTGTGTTCGCCGTAAACGGCGAACGTGCGGTATGCAGGGATTGTTTGAACAATGTCCTGGGGTCGTCGAATGTTCGTTTTGGCTGTCGTGTCGATAAAGCACCGGATGCTAGTCGGCAAAAAAGGCGAAGCGAAAAACTCGCGTCGCTCGGTGAAACGGGCTAGTAGTGCGCGATAAATTGTGTCCTTTAACGTGCGGAAGGAGAGGTGGCGTACAAGGAACGAGGCGGCGTGCGAGAAACGTCAGAGTCCGTTAACGGAGACAGTCAGATGGATAGATATATAGAGATAGAGATAGATAGATAGATAGATAGATAGATAGATAGATAGATAGATAGAGAGAGAGAGAGAGAGAGAGAGAGAGAGAGAGAGAGAGAGAGAGAGAGAGAGAGAGTGAGAGAGTCAGGGAAAGTAAGAGGGAGAGACTGCCTCGTAAAAAAACAGAGGCGCAGGAGATTGACGGCTGCTGGAAAAAGGGCCGGAGCCGCTCGCGCCGGGCTTCCGAGGCGATATCCACACGGGCTCTAGGGGCATGGGGAGGGAGGAGTTGTGGGGGTCGTCGAGGCAGATTGGCAAAGGGTGTGCGGCAACGGGCGGGGAGGGTCGGGGGCGTCGCACGCATACCCGGGCGAGAGGCCGATAAGTCGCGGTCGAACGGCTTCGAGGGTTAGTGCCGCCGTTCCGGCCGAGGAGCCAAAGCCGCGCATTAGCTCGTCGGTATCCTGGCTCGCGGGGATTTCAGAGACGGGATCAGCCCCCCGCGGCGGCCCATAAATCGTTCCTCGGCCCCCGGCGAGGGTCGATCGTTCGAAAATCCCGGCGAGTCGCGCCTCAGCCAATGGCAGGCGGCTGCCGACGGGGGCGCGGCGACCGTCGGATACGCGCACGCGCACTGTCTGTTGGCCCCACGACCGTCGGAGCGAGTCGGCGACGAGGCAGACAGAAGTGAGACGCGCGCCGGTTAAGGCGACGTAGCGCGTGATCGTCCTGAGCGAGCGCCGCCGCCGTGTACGTAAACTCGTTGCTATTCCTTTGGAATAGGAGGAGGCGGTGGAGGCGGTGGAGGCGGTGGAGGCAGTGGAGAAAGAGGAAGAGGAGGAGAAG